AACTGTGACCCTCTGTATAGTAGCTTTACAATAAAAAAAAAAAAAAAAAAAAAAAAAAAAAAAAAAAAAAAGAAAACTAACAGTGTTTGTGAAGATGATGGGTAAGAAATGAGATTCCCTTACACTGTTGGTGGGTGTCAATTTATTTAATATACTAATAAGCATGACGTTTCCTAACAAAATATAAAAATCACTCATGATGCAGCTAAAGCACTACTTCATACATATATATATATATACACACACACATATATATACATATATATAGAAGCACATTTATATGTATATGAAGGAATCAGGCATTAGCGAGGCCGGCGGCATCGGGCCAGGAAGGCCAGGAGGACAATGTTCCTTCCTCCACTGCAAGTCACATTCCATTTTCTAGATGTTTTATGGGAAGAGTAGAACTAACTCTGGGTGAAAAGCTTAGTTAAAAAGCATGTATATATTTTTGCTTCTTATTTTTTTAATGGATTCAAAACTCTATTTCAGTTCTTTTTGTGACTGAGTTCCAGAGCTCAGCTCTTCCTGAAAGATTGCTGTTAATATTGTAGTATGAACTTGTCCTTCTGTTTTTGACATAAGATTTATGTGTCATTTGTGTTTTTTATTTAAATTTTTGGCTTGTGTTTTGGTGAGATTATGCTGTGAACTGAGGACCACATACTTGCTCTGTAATGCTCTACCACCTGTACCACACCCCTAGCCAGCTTTCTGCTTTTTTTACAAAGCATCTGAAATCCTGTCCTTTTCCAATATTTACCTGCTGGCACAAGATTAGCTGCCACATTATTCTTTTGTCTTCTTTGAGCTTCTCACAGCCTATCAATTAACCAGACACTCAACCACCTTGTTCAAGAAAATTATATTATTCTGTTTACTTTTTCAGTTGTGAAAAATAAAAAGAGGCAAAAAGAGAAAAAAAAGCCCAAACAGCAAAATGAAGTAAGATAGGAGAGAAGAAGTAACTATTATTATAGCATATTTATAGGGTAGACACCATAAATGATGAAAATGCCCTTTTAATTAGCTATATGACTAGTTCTTCTAAAAGAAGGAAATTCTGCTAATCCCTTTAATGTCATAATACAGGCAGAAGGAGACGAGTTGTTATGTTTGTGAGGGCACAATTAAATGTCTTAGCAAACAACATTTAAATCCAAAAATGCTTTGCACTCTTTTTATCATAGTAAATTTCTATTCAAATGTTTGATGTGTATACTTTTATTCACAAGTTGGTGCTGGTAAAGGTGAAGAACATGAAGTATTTAAAATCACATGTCCTGCGTGAAGAGATTTTTCACTGGATTTAGTAGGCAAGATGAGACAGAGTGGACTAGAAAGACCTAAGAAAGGCTTGAGGTTTCCTTAGAGAATAAAAGACAATTTTCCCCACAGGTCAAAGGGCAGAGCACATTCTCAGAGGAGAGCAATGTAGAGACAACACAGTTCCTAAGGCAGTTACTCAGAGAACTTGGTATACAGTTGGTTGCCTGCTAGAATGACTCTTCTCCACTGATACCTTGATACATGCATCCTTATGCAAAGTACCCATTTTCACACCAGCCCTTACCAAGGCAATTTTCCTCAAAAAGCTAGACTTATTGATATTAAAAACAGCAATAAATCATTGGTTTTTACATAAGATTACTATTCAGTGATTCCTTGTGCATTTAAGGGCTTATTCACGTAATTCTGTAGAGAATGTCACTGGAATATTGATGGGGATTGCACTATATAAAGAGATGGCTTTTCATCATCTGGCCTTTTTCATCCTGTTAATTTTTTTTTTTTTGGGGGGGGGTCCAGTCGTGGGGCCCGAACTCTGGGCCTGGGCGCTGTCCCTCAGCTCTTCAGCTAGCGCTCAAGTGGTAGGCTAGCGCTCTACCACTTGAGCCACAGCGCCACCTCCAGCTTTTTTCTTTTTGCTTATGTGGTGCTGAGGAATCGAACCCAGGGCCTCATGCAGGCAAGGCAAGCGCTCTACCACTGAGCCATCTTCCCAGCCCCCATCCTGTTAATTTTGCTGATCCATGAATATGGTATAGATTTCCAACCTGTAGATGTCATCTTCGGTTTCTTTCTCCTATCATGTATGAGTTTCATCACAGCGATTTTTCAGGTCTTTGGTTCAGTTTATTTTAGGTATTTATTTGGGGATTCATGCAATTATGAATTGGAATTATTTTTATTCCAGGTAAATTTATTTTTGGAAGTATTACAATATAATACTTAAAATTATATTACTTGACTCTGGCGAGATGGCCCAGCTGGTACAGTTCTTTCCTAGCAAGCTAAAACAAATAAAATACATATGACCTAAAACAGAAACATGGAGAAATGAAAGGATAGAGGACTCAGAAATTTATCCAACTAGCTAGATAGCTACAGTATCCTGATTCTTGGCAAGAAGTTCCAGAAACTCGTGCATTATAGAAGTGCTGCTATTTTGGAGGAAGATACTAGCTTTATCTAGTGTGGCCAGAAAAATGAATATCCGAATGGAGAAAACTTGACCGCAAGAACATTACCCTAGGAAACAGGAGGATCAGTTTTCACTCTCCAGTACAAATATAAATATATATTTTATATATTCCAACCCATAAAAATGCTCAATGAAGCCGGGCGCTGGTGGCTCACGCCTGTAATCCTAGCTACTCAGGAGGCTGAGATCTGAGGATCGCAGTTCAAAGCCAGCCCAGGCAGGAAAGACCGTGAGACTCCTATCTCCAGTAAACCACTAGAAAACCAGAAGTGGCGCTGTAGCTCAAGTGGTAGAGTGCTCGCTTTGAGCTGAAGAGCTGAGGGACAGCGCCCAGGCCCAGAGTTCAAGCCCCACAACCAACAAAAAAAAAAAAAAAAAAAAGCTCAATGAATTGAATAGTCATTAAAAAACAGTATGTTTAACATTATATAGAAACTGTTGAAAATACTATGCTATCAGAGATTATCAAATCAAAACTACATCAAGATTCCATTTCTCCACAGTCAGAATGACTGCCATTCAGAAAACTCACAGGGTAAGTGATGATCCTGGGAAAGAAAGATTCCATACACTATTGGTGGGAATGTGAATTTGTTTATCCATTATACTAATAAACACAAAATTTGGTCAAATATGTAAATATAGGACTCATAAAGGATACAGTTAAAGCACCTGCATACATATATATACCTATATATATATATGTGTGTGTGTGTGTATATATATATATACATATATATGTATATATATATATATATGTAGTTGCAGTCACAGCAAGAGTTGACCGTGTGTCAGAGCATGGAAGTTCATGGTGGGTGTGGAAGGAGATACGGTTGAAATATTTGGAGGGCTTTTCATTACACACTGACACACATACACATCACACACACATATTTATATATATGCATATATAGAGGAATATATATGTGCATGCTTATATTTACTGCAGGACGACTCATAAGAGCCAAGTCATGGAGTCATCCTGGGGACCCATCAATGGTGAAAAAATAAGAGAATGCGGTATATGTGTTCAATGGAGTATTATTCAGACATTTATAAGAATGATATCATGACTTTGTAGAAAAAATAATGGCAATGAGAATTATACTAAGTGAAATAAGACACACTCAAAAAACTAGTATTAATTATGCTTATGTTGATTTTTTTTTATCAGTCATGGGGCTTGAACTCTGGGCCTGAGCGCTGTCTCTCAGCTCTTCAGCTCAAGGCTAGCACTCTACCACTTATGCCACAGTGCCACTTCTGGTTTTCAAGTGCTTTATTGGAAATAAGAGTTTCAAGGACTTTCCTGCCCGGGGTTGGTTTTAAACCGGGATTCTCAGATCTTAGCCTCCTGAGTAGCTAGGATTACAGGTGTGAGCCACCGGCACCCGGCTGTTGAATATTTTTTAAGATGAAAAAGAGGCCTATTATCGAATGAAGTAATCCAATGGGAGGTATTAGCATGGGTAATCACAAGCACAAATCAAGGAACCTAAGATCATAGAACCCAATATACATGTATGATAATGTCTAAAGGAAACTTACTATGTGCACAACTAATATGCACCAATGGCTAGACAACAACAGCAACTAAAGACTAACGACTATTGATCTAAAACAATTGGGCAACCATCTGAAATGTTCCACGTCAAAATATTCAGAAGATTTCTCACTTTAGTGAGCATAGAACCCAACCCCTTATGCCTAGATAATGACCCCCATCCACATCATTTGAATATCAATGGAAAGTCAAGAACAGTTAGGTGAGGAAGATGTGAGATTCCATTGTGTGCACTCTGGACATAGCCAGACTTAAATGATTGAAGTAAGTAGTTTAGTTGAAGAATGATATCATGGCAAGTTGTAGGAAAATTGGAAACTATTTGAGAATAAGGGCATACCCAATTACCAAGGAATAACCTATGGAGAATTCTCCTGGGGTGGCTGGATTACATTCCTTGGACAACTTGTGCAACACTGGACAGGTGGACACACAGGCACTGAATGGGAAGTGAGCAGGACAGGGGCTCACCAGCTCCTGTCAGTTACTATTGGAGCTCTGCCCCCCTGGACCTTAGCTTCTGCTTAGGACTTTATCCTCAATAGAGGAAGTTGTCTGCAGCAGAGAGTTCTAGGAGTCCTAGTGAAGGAACAATAGCAAAGACAAGAGCTGGCACAGCCAGAATGCCCTGCCATGAGATTTTTATTGTTTGGAGATGAGCTACATATTTGAACAACAATTGAAGAAGGAGACAAATGCAACATAATGTTTTTATATTTGCATGTATTCACATTTATTGAGGATGTAGGAATAACAGCATTTGAGAAGGTAACAAGATAGTTGACCAATTTCAAGGAAATTTCCAACTTGGGTTCATTTTGAAGAGAAGCTGATAAGTAGAAGAGAGAGAGAGGTCAGTATTTGGAGGCCTATACAATGCCAGTGGGAACAGAGGTTTACAGTTGGCCTCCGATGTTGGCAGCTCAAGACCAGGAGAAGAGAGGAGAGTGCTCAGCAGCAGGAATCAGTGCAGCAGCTGGGGTGGCAGCAGGTGGTCCTGCAGCAGGTGGTCTGGCAGCAGCTGGGCTGGCAGCAGCAGGGCTGGCAGCAGCTGGACACACAGCAGCTGGGGCGGCAGCAGGTGGTCCTGCAGCAGGTGGTCTGGCAGCAGCTGGGCTGGCAGCAGCAGGGCTGGCAGCAGGTGCAGCCACAGCAGGAGTTGACCATGGTGTCAGAGGATGGAGGTTCTGGGTGGGGGTGCAGGGAGATGTGTGTGAACAGTCTGGAAGGCTCTCTGTCACACATGCTCTTTTATACTCAACTCAGGAGCACGTGTGATCCATCACGTGTAGCTTTCTTTCCTTGTGGTTGTTTAGCTTAACATATGGGTGGATATTTATCTAATTGGGCTTTTAAAATATCAAATTAGTATTTTTTTTGCTTAAATTTTCAAGTGGGAAGGAAAACATGATGCCATTTTTCTGGTGTGTTGGGTTTCACTTGTCAGTATGTTCCATGAGAACCATCTCCTAAGTGCGTGTGTCTTGGTCTAGTTCCTCAAAGAGCCATCACATGGCTGCCATGATGTGCTTATGATATGCTTCAATTGTGTTTTACAAGGTACATTCCACCTATTTTAGATATTCAAGATTGTTATAGGCCCATCGTTTTATGTGGTGACCTAGGAGGCTAAAGCCTCACTAGAATGAATCTAATGAGTCCTTCATCAAGCAGGTGGACAGGAAGGTTTGCATGTGAGAGGCCAGCGGCTTGGCGCCAGGAAGGTCATGAGGACATGTTCCTTCCTCCACTGCGAGTCAGGATCCATTTCCTAGATTCTTTCTGGAAGAATAGACTAACTCTGGAAGAATAGACTAACTCTGGGTGAAAATTCTAATTGAAAAGCACCTATATTTCTTTGTTCTTTTTATTTTCTTTATCTGAATCAAATCTCTAAATAATGTTTTAGTTCCCCTCATGAGAACGTGGGCTGCAGAGCTCTGCTGTCCTCGAAAGAATAGTCATGAACTGTGAACTTACTGCTTCAGCCTCTGATACAGTGTTTTTGTGTCCCTTGTGCTTTTTGTTTGACTATTTTTGTTTTTGTTTTGGAGGAATTGTGCTGTGACCTGAGGACCATCTTCACTCCACCCTCAGCAATTCTTTCTGGGTTTTGACAAGACATTCGCAACTCTGGGATTTCCCCATACTTACCAGCTAGCACCAGTTAGCCACATTATTCTTCTGTCTTATTATTATATTCACACACAACATTATAGCTCTCTATTGAGCTTCTCAGCCCTATCAATAAACAAGCCTCTCCTGTTACATTATTCAAGAGGATTATCATATTATCCTGCTCAGGTTTTCAGTTTCAGAAATAAAAAGAAACACAAAAGAAAAATCAAACCTAAAAAGTAAGAAGAATTATGATAGAACACAAAAAATGAAATGCTATTATAATATATTTATAGGGGAGACACAGTAAATGTGGAAAGGTGCAAAAATACCTACCTAATTAGTTACATGATTACCTTTGCTAAAAGAAGAAAATTTTGATACTTCCTATACACCACAAAACAGGCAGTTTTTTCTTCTGTCATTTGTAAGTTTCATCACAGAGATTTTCCAGAACTTTGGTTAGGCTTATTTTAGTTATTTATTTGGGAATAAGTGTGATTATGAGTAGGGAATTTTTCTGGATTTCTGAATGGTGAGTTTATTTTCAGAAGTGTCACAATATAATACCTAAAATTATGACACATAATTATGACATCTAGCCATGCTAACAAAAACGGTAGGGTTACCAGGGCAGATGATGGCTCAAGGGGTACAGATCTTTCCTAGCAAGTTTAATCAAACAAAAACTACAAAACACACACCAGCTAAAACAGAAAAATGATCCAATAGAATAGGGTAGTGGACCCAGAAATTTACCCAATTAGCTGGCTAGCTGCAGTATCTTGACTCTTGGCAAAAAGTCCCAGAGACACATGCATTACAAAAGTGCTGCCATCTTGGAGGAAGATCCTAGCTTTATCAAGTATGAACATTTAACTGTAGAAAACTTGACCGCAACATTCTCCTAGGAAACAGGAGGATCAGTTGTATCTCTCCTACACACACACTCTCTCTCTCTCTCTCTCTCTCTCTCTCTCTCTCTCTCTCTCTCTCTCTCTCTCTCTCTCTCTCTCTCCTACACACACACACACACACACACACACACACACACACACACACACACACACACACAATTTCCAATACATAGAAGTAGAAAATGATGTGGATAGAGATTGGATATATACAAATGGCTAACATTACATTGAAAGTAATCAATGTTTTCACCATCATGAATTTTCAAATCAAAACTACACAAAGATTCCCTTTCACCATAGTCAGAATGGCTGCCGTCAAGAAAACTAATGGTGTTTGTGAAGATGATGGGTAAGAAAGGAGATGCCTTACACTGTTCGTGGGTGTGATTTTTTTATTTGTTATACTAATAAGCATGTGATTTCCTAACAAAATAAATATAAAATTCACTCATGATGCAGCTAAAGCACTACCCCATATATATATATATATATATATATATATATATATATATATATATATATGAAGGAATCAGGCAATATAGTATGGAGACACCTGCATTGAAGGACTATTCACAAGAGCCAAGTCATGGAGTCATCCTGCGGCCCTTCTGTGGTGTAAAAATAAGGGGAGTATGGTGCATGTGCTCAATGCAATATTATTCAGACATTCATAAGAATGATGTCATGACTTTGTAGGAAAAGTCTTGGAAGTGGTAATTATTATGTTAAATGAAATGAGATTGACTCAGCGAGAAAAGTATTTATTTATTTTCTCATATGTTTAATCTTTGTTAAAAAAAGATAGATATGAAAGTACAAGGGGGCCATTTGGAGAATAAAGTAAGCCAATGGGACGAATTCACATGTGTAATCACAAAGACAAAGCAAAGAACCTAGGGCTAAGCATCAACACCAATGAAATATTAAAGACTATTAACTAAGAACAATGGGGCAACCATCTGCAATGTTCCCCATCAAAACATTTAGCAGACTTATCAGTTCAGTGAGCATAGGATCCAAAAGCTAGTGGCTAGATAGTGAGAACCATCCCCATCGCTTAAAAACATGTATGGACCAGCAGCTACACTTAGATGAAGAAGATGTGACTCTTAGCTTGTGTGCACTCCTGGGCACAAGTTAACCTGGGAGCTGAAGTTAAGTGGTTTACTTAGGGAATGATGACAGGACTAGATGAGAAAAACTTGAGAAATAAGAAATAAGGGAGGGAAGCAGTTCAAAGTGACACCATATGTAGCACTGTCCTTGGGCAACTGGATGGCATTCCCATGGATAACATATGGAACACTGGACAGTGTGGACACACAGGCACTGAGGGGAGGGGAGCAGGAGAGGGCCTCACCAGCTCCTCTCACTGCTGCAGCTGTGCCCCTGGGGACCTGACCTCCTGCCCAGAGCTTCCTTTTCAGGAGAGGAAATCTCCAGCACAGTGTTCTAGGCAGTGGCTCAAGACCACCATGGCCTGTATGAGAAACCAGTGGACAAGGATCAGAGCTTGCACACTCAGAATGACCTGCTATGTGAGTTTTAGTTTTCAGAGATGAGCTACGTATCTGAACAACAGTTGAAGAAGGAAAAATAAGGAGACACGGTGCTGTTATAATTGCATGGGGACAAAAGTCAAATTTATTGACAAGGTAGGAATAACAGCATTTGAGAAACCATGACACAGAACAAATACTTCCCTGTGGGTAACAAAGAAGTTGACAGATTTCATGGAAAATTTCAACTTGGGTTCATTTTGAAGAGATAGAAACCTGCCAAGGACTGAGGGGGACAGCTCATGTGGAGGCCCAAACAGACCCCAGAGGAAACTGAGGTTTACAAGTAGTCTCCCATGATTGAGCTCAGAGAGAAGGACTACATCAATAATGCTGCCTACTGAAGGGCAGGAGGGTGCAGGACAGAGTGCTCAGCAGCAGGAATCAGTGCAGCAGCTGGGGCGGCAGCAGGTGGTCCTGCAGCAGGTGGTCCGGCAGCAGCTGGGCTGGCAGCAGCAAGGCTGACAGCAGCAGGGCTGGCAGCAGCTAGACACACAGCAGCTGGGATGGCAGCAGGTGGTCTGGCAGCAGCTGGGCTGGCAGCAGCAGGGCTGGCAGCAGGTGCAGCCACAGCAGGAGTTGACCATGGTGTTAGAGGATGGAGGTTCTGGGTGGGGGTGCAAGGAGATGTGTGTGAACAGTTTGGAAGGCTCTCTGTCCCACATGCTCTTTTATACCCTGCTAAGGAGAAAATGTGATCCATCACATGTAGCTCTGTTTTCTTGTGGCTGTTTAGCTTAACAAATAGGTGGTTATCAAATTAGATCACTATAGTTTCCTGCTAAAATTTTCAAGTGGGAAAGAAAACGTGATGCCCTTTTTCTGGCATGTTGGAATTCACCTATCAGTTCACAGAGAACCATCTCCTAAGTGTGTGTGTCTTGGTCTAGTTCCTCAAAGAGCCATCATGTGACAGCCAGTGTCTCCTAAGCGAATACTTTAGTCTCATTTTACATGGTACATTATGTCTACTCTTAGGTATTTAAGATTTTATAGACCAGTATTTGAGTGTGGTGACCCAGGAGCTGAAAGCCTCACTAGAAGCTAATAAGTCCTTCAGGTCAGGTGGGAGAAAGGTTTGCATGTGATAGGCTGGCAGCATGGGGCCAAGGCCATGAGGACATCCTTCCTCCACTGTGATTCAGGATCCATTTCCTAGACATTTTAGGGAAGAATAGACTAACTCTGGGTGAAAATTGTAATCGAAAAACATCTATATATCTTTGCTTCTTTTTATTTTCTTTACCTGAATCAAAACTGTAAATAATATTTTAGTTCCTCTTGTGAGAACGTGGGCTGTAGAGCTCTGCTGTCCTCTAAACACTCCCCTTGATATTGTACTGTGAATCATTGTCTTTCAGGCTTTGACATAGTGTGTTTGTGTCGTTTGTGAGTTTGGTTGGAATTTTTTTGGTTTTCATTTTAGAGAGATTGTGCTGTGCACTGAGGATCACATACTTGTTAAGTTTATGCTCTACCATCTTAGCCACACCCTTGCCCTCTTTCTGTTTTTGACAAGACATCCAGAATCGTGTCCTTGTCCAGTATTTGCCTGCTGGCACAAGTTAGATGTCACATTATTCTTCTGTCTTAGTTTTATCTGCACAAAACATGACAGATTTCTATTGAGCTTCCCAGTCCTGTCAACAAACAAGACTCTCCTGCTTCATTATTGAGAGAACTATCATATTATCCTGTTCAGGTCTACAACTGTTAAAAGTAAAAACGCACAAAAAGAAAAAAGAATCTAAAAAGAAACAGTAGTATGATAGAAAACATACAATGTGAAATGTTCCGGTGCTATTTTTATAGAGAACACAGAGCAAATCCTGAGAGGTACAAAAATATCCATATAAATAGTTTCAGGATTCGTTTTCCTAAAAGAAAAAAAAATTCTGTCAGACTTCTGTGTATCATAAAACAGTCAGAAGGAGATTAGTTGACCTTTGTGAGGGCATAATTAAATGTGTTAATGAAGAACATTTAAATACAATTTTTTTGCACTTTTTTATCACAGTAAATTACTGGTCAAATGCCTGATTTGTTTACTTTTATTCATAAGTTTGTGCTGATAAAGCTGAAATACATGAGCTATTTAAGATCCTATGTCATATGTGAAGAGATTTTTCACTGGATTTAGTAGTAAGGCCAGACAGAGGAGACTAGAAAGACATAAGAAAGGCTTCACATTTCCTTAGAGAGTAAAGGAAGCTTTCCCCCACAGGTAAAAAGGGCAAGAGCATATTCTCGGTGTCATCCAATATATAGACAATACAGTTCCTAAGGCAGTTAGTCAGAGAAATTGGCATGCAGTTGGATGCCTGCTAGAATGAATTTCCTCCACTGACTCCTCCATGCATCCATCCATTAGCAAAGTACCCATTTTCATAGCAGCCCTTTACCAAAGCCATTTCCCTCAAGAGCTAGATTTATTCATATTAAAAAAAAACATTGTCTTTATTGTCTAAGATTGTTTCAGCTATACAGAGTCTTCAACAATTCCTTGTGCATTTAAGGGCTTCTCTGTGTAATTCTGTGAAGAATGCCACTAGAATTTTTTATGGGAATTACATGACATAATTAGACCTGTTTTAATAATCTGGCCCTTTCACCATGTTAATTTTGCTGATCCATGAATATGGTATATATTTCCAACTTGCTCACATGTCTTCTTTAGTTTTATCTGTGGTTTATAAGTTTCATCATAGCAATTTTCCAAGTCTTAGGTTAAGTTTCTTTTATTTATTTGTGAACAGATGTGATTATGAATAGGGTTTTTTTGGTTTTTTTTTTATTCTTGATGAACTTATTTTTGGAAGTCTCACAACATAATACTTAAAATTATACCACTTAATGTTCACTAGACACTATGTTGGAAATGAACTTCACAATTTGTGGGGGAGGGTAATTGGAAGAGGGAAAAGTAGGAGAAAACGAGGGAGGGGGTCACACTGTTACAGTTATTTACAGTTATTTACATATTACTGTAACCCCTCTTTACATTTGCAATAAAATTTAAATTTAAAAAAGAAAAAGTTAAGCAGGGGCCTAAGGCCCTGAGTTCAAAGCCCAAGTATCTGTACGCGTGCGCGCGCACACACACACACACACACACACACACACACACACACACACACGGTGAAATAGGTTCAAAGCAGCATCTGTGTGAACTTATAACATCTTCCATTTTCCTTACCCCTCACTCACGTCTCCTCTTCTTTTCTCCCACTGCCCAGGCTCAGGCCGTCAGCACCAATTTTTTGAGCTCATACAGCTTTGGTTTTGTATGTGGTATTTCCTTCCTTCTGCAAAGCCAGCCTAATGGATTCTCTTAAAGTAACACCCTAACTGTGTCACTCCTCAGTCAGATATCCACAGAGCTTCTCCTATTGTTACTGAAAGAACTCTAAACTTCAGTCTCAGTATCTAGCCCCTTTCCTCACAGCTAGTCTAGATTTCCAGTTATATAGTAGTACTGATTATTTTCCTCACTTTTATCAGAAGCTATTCTCTCTCCACCCACCCCCCCTCACATTCCCTGTCCTTTTCATAACCATATGCTGGCCCTCTGCATTACTGAGCTTCTAACCAATGTGAAGTGGCCTTACTACTTTCCTTAGGTCTTAGCGTTGTCTTTTCCCAGAATGGTCTCTCCTCCACTTTCACTGACCCAAACTGTAATTCTTCAAGGCTCAGATGATGTTCCTGAGTATTCCTAAACGTGATGTCCTTTCTCTTTTGCAGTTTACATAATCAAGATGAATGATCCTAAAATAAAGGCGATTTTTTTCCATCTGGATATCTTCTACTCATCAGATAAAATTCTGGAGAAAAGAGGCAATTTTAGGTATAGCCAGGGAGCAGTCCTATCCATACAGTAAGGAAGAGCCAGGGGAGCCCTTAAACATGAACTAGGCATTGTGATGCTAACTTTACAGTTCAATAAACTGAGAAACTTAAATAAATAAATATATATGTATATATGTAATTTAGCCACGTTAACAAAAAAAAATCTGGTCACCTGGAGAGATGGCACAAGTTGTACAGCTCTTACTTAGCAAGCTAAAACAAACTAACTAAAAATAAAATACACAATACCTAAAACAGAAGCAGGCAAATGGAATATAATAAAAGACCCAGAAATTTATCCAATTAGCTAGCTACCTATAGTATTCTGATTCTGGCAAAAAGTACCAGCACTTGCATTACAGAAGTGCTACTGTCTTAGAGGAATATACTAGCTTTATCAAGTATGGCCAGAAAAATGAATGAACCCAAATGTAGAATGAATCCAAACATAGAAAACTTGACCACAAGAACACTATGAAACAAGAGACAAAATGTCCATGCTCCAGTATATATATATGTATATATATATACATATATGTATATATATATTCATAAAAATTGGCAATAAAGTGAATAAACATTAAATAAACATATATGGCAAATATTACATGGAAACTTTAAAATATTTCACTAGCAGCAATTTTCAGCTCAAAACTACATCAAGATTCACCATAGTCAGAATGCCTGCCATCAAGAAAATTAACAGAGTTAGTGAGAATCCTAGAAAAGAAAGGAAACCCTATATACTGTTGGTGGGAATGTGATTTTTGTTTATACAGTATACTAGTAAATATAGAAATTCCTCAAATATATAAATATAAAACTCACACATGATCCAGCTAAAGCAATCCTGCATACATGTATGTACCTAAAGGTGTCAGGAAACATAGAATGGAGATACCTGCATGTTCACATCGATTGTGGGACTATTCACAGGAGTCAAATCATGGAGTCATCCTGGGGGCCCACTGATGGTACAAATAGAACAGAAATGTAGTAGAGGTGCCCAATGGAGTATTATTCAGACATTCACAAGAAATGATATCATGACTTTATAGGAAAATTCATGGAAGTAGTTATTATCATGTGAAATGAAATAAGATAGACTCAGAAAGACTAGTATTGTTTTGTTCTCTTACATTCAATTCTTAAAAAAAGAAAAGATATGAAAGTAAAAAGGAGCATTCCTAGAGAATGAAGTAAACCAGTCTCTAAAAGAGATAATTAGTATGGGTAATCACAACAAAGAACCTAAGGTTATAGGTTCTTAACCCCCATGTTAAGCAAATTTACTATCAGCACAATTAGTATATACCAGTGACACAATATCAACAACAATTAAAGATCCACAACAATGAAAGACTAAAGACTATGGATCTAAGAACAATTGGGCACACAACTGAAATGATCTACATCAAAATGTTCAGGAGACTTCTCAGTTTAATGAGCACAGAATTCAACAGTTGGGGCCTAGATAATGAGAACTGTACTTGTTTTTGAAAAGGTATGTAAAATCAGCAACACTAAGATAAGAAAAAATGTGAGATTAAATTGTGTGCACTTGGGGCATAGCCAGACTCAGGAGATTGAAGTAAGTAGTTGACTTGGAGATGGTGACAGGAGAAGATGTAAGAAACATGGGAAATAATTGAGAGTAAGAGAAAATCCACTACCAAGAAATGCCATATGGAGAGTTCTCCTTGGGCAGCTGGATTACGTTCCCACAGAAACCCTGTATACATTGGACATGGTGGATACATGAGCACTGAAGGGCAGGTGAGCAGGACAGATCTCACCAGCTCCTGACTTTATTGTAGCGCTACTTCTGGGAGTTTATCTCCTGGCTAGAGCTTTCTCGTCATTAGTGGAAGTCCTCAGCAGACATTCAAGTCTCTGGCTCTAGACAACCATGGTCTATTTTTGAGGGAACAATAGGAAAGACCCAAGCTGGCACACTCAGAAAGCCCTGACCTGGAATTTTTATTGTTAGGAGATGAACTACATAATGATCTGAATAAAAATTGAAGAAGGAAAAATAAAGAGACATATGCTTTTATGTTGGCATTTGTTCACATTTATTGATGATGTAGGAATAACAGCATTGCAGAAGGTAACTAGGTAATTGATAGATTTCATGGAAAATTCCAACTTGAGTTTATTTTGAGGAGAGATGGTATAGGCTGACAAGGACTAGGGGTTGGGGGTCAGTATTTGGAGATCCACACAGACCTCAGTGGGAAGTGAGGTTTACAGCTGGCCTCCATGATCAGCTTGCAGATATCAGCTTCCTAAGTATTGGAGGAGGGAGCAGAGTGCTCAGCAGCAGGAATCAGTGCAGCAGCTGGGGTGGCAGCAGGTAGTCCTGCAGCAGCTGGGCTAGCAGCAGCTGGGCTGGCAGCAGGGCCTGCAGTGGCTGGACACACAGCAGCTGGAGCGGCAGCAGGTGGTCCTGCAGCAGGTGGTCTGGCAGCAGCTGGGCTGGCAGCAGCTGGGCTGGCAGCAGCAAGGCTGACAGCAGCAGGGCCTGCAGCAGCTGGACACACAGCAGCTGGGGCGGCAGCAGGTGGTCCTGCAGCAGGTGCTCTGGCAGCAGCTGGGCTGACAGCAGCAGGGCTGGTAGCAGGTGCAGCCACAGCAGGAGTTGACCATGGTGTCAGAGGATGGAGGTTCTGGGTGGGGGTGCAAGGAGATGTGTGTGAACAGTTTGGAAGGCTTTCTGTCTCACATGCTCTTTTATACCCTGCTAAGGAGCAAGTGTGATCCATCACATGTAGCTTTCTTTCCTTGTGGTTGTTTGGCTTAACAAATGGGTGGTTATAAAATTATGTCACTATATTTTCCTGCTAAAATTTTCAAGTGGGAAGGAAAACATGATGCTATTTTTCTGGTGTGTTGAAATTCACCTGTTGGTTCAGAGAGAACCATCTCCTAAGTGTGTGTGTTTTGGTCTAGTTCCTCAAAGAGCCACCAAGTGGGCTGGGAAGATGACTCAGTGGTAGAGTGCTTGCCTTGCATGCATGAGGCCCTGGGTTCGATTCCTCAGCACCACATAAGCAGAAAAAGGTGGAAGTGGTGCTGTGGCTCAAGTGATAGAGTGCTAGCCTTGAGCTGAAGAGCTGAGGGACAGCACCAACAAAAAAAAAAAAAGAGCCATCATGTGATCATGTGACAGCCGGTGTCTCTTTATGAGATGTTTCAATCGCATTTTACATGGTACATTGTGTCTCTTCTTAGGTATTCAAGATTGTTATAGGCCCATATTTGTGTGTGGTGACCCAGGAGGCTAAAGCCTCACTAGAATCTAATGAGTGCTTCATCAGGTCAGGTGGGGAGGAAGGTTTGCATGTGAAAGGCCAGCAGTATGGGGCCAGGAAGGCCACGGGAGCATGTTCCTTCCTCCACTGTGAGTCAGGATCCATTTTCTAGATGTTTTATGGGAAGAATAGGCCAACCTTTAGGTACAAAACTGAATGGAGGAATATTGATATATCTTTGTTTTTCTTTGTGAGAAACAAATCTCTATATGTCATTTTTAGTGTCTCATGTGAGAATGTGTCTACAGAACTCTCTTATACCCTGAAGTTCCCTCTCAGTACTGTATTGTGAGCTTATTTCCCTTCTGTCTGTCTTGCTGTCTCTCTGTCACTTCTGATCTGTGTGTTTTGTTTGATTATAGGTTTATGCTTATAAAGCTGAAAACATGACATTTTAAAAATGATGTGTTCTGTGTGGAGTTTTTTTTTTTTACTAATAAAGAGGGGCACAGAAAAACTTAAAGACATAGAGGGAAGGCTTGTTGATTTTTACAAGACAGAGTTCGATATTAATTTAGGCACTAAAGGAAGCTCTTTCCCCACTGGCAAAAGGGAAGATGACAGTCTCATTGTGGAGTAATAGATAGATAACATAGTTGGCTGCCTGAAAAAAAGCATCTGAGGGATATTACAAACTGCCAGTCTCTGGCTCCTGTCCAGAACAATTGCAATTTAATTAGTGTGGAGTAATGCCTGTGCCCTGGGAGCTTTTCCATTTCCTCAGGTTTTCCCACTGGGCTGGGAAGCGTGAGATCCACTTTCTTAAAGTGTCCACAGTACATCTGTTTTCATATCCAGAGACTAGAAGTCACAAAAAATAGCTCCATTTTATTTGATGGTGGTATCTTTAGGTACCAGAGTAGAAGAAACAATCCTGACTTGAAGCACTGGACTTTGATCCTTGTAGACTGAAACACTGATAATTCTCTTTACTATTTTACGTTGTTCTACTAGCCAAGGCAACAGACCCACATGGTAGAGAATGGACCAACGGTACATGTAGCACAATATGAAATAGCCATTGATAGCCTGCTGGTGGGCTGTTAAGTTTGAAACCAGACCCTCTATCTCTGTATTCCTTACTGAATTTTGCCTATGTATCATGAAATACCATGGACAATTAACATCAAGCGATACAAGAAATTATGTGAGGTCTGCTTGAGCGAAGCTATTTTTTATTTCAAAGAGTAGTAGGTAGAGTGTGACTTGTCTTTCTGTTATATAATTTTTTGACACAAGCAACTGTCTGATGAGCTCCAGCGATTGTAGGGTCTAAGTGCTGATCTCTTGCTGACAGGACAGGCATTCATCAGAGATTAACCTGAAGAGATGTTAATCAAGAGGAAAGTCACAATGTTTGTCACTGACCACTTAATGATTTAATGTGATGTTGTTTTGAAGCAAGTTGGTGAAGTATGGAGAATTGTGCAGACTATGAACACCAGAAAGTAGAAATAATTGGCAACTACTTGAGAGGTTTTAAGTCCCAGCTAAAATATTTGTTGCAAAAGAATATATACATGCGCATACACACTCACATCCTCCCCCCACACACTGTGAGATCCCATATGAAATTCACTGACTTACTGTAAATCTAAACTATAATCTCCAAGAGTGACTATCTATTGAAGTGGTATCATTATCTCAAGAATAAGTAGCCATGTTGTATAAACAACCTAAGGACCCATCACCAAATGAAAGAATAAAGGAAATGAGGTATATGTACTCAACGGCATATTATTCATGTGCTAAGAAGAATGAAACCAGCTGAACAAAGTGTATCTCACCTATAATGTAGGAACTCAGGAGGTTGGGAGCATTGCAGTTCAAGGGCTAAGAGTTGATAAGAGTCCATCATGACTAATTAAAGGCTGACCTGGGGGGAAATGCCATAGTCTATTTGAAAAATACCTAAAAATAAAACACGCGCACGCGCGCACACACACACACACACATACACACAATTACATACATAATCCTTTGCCAAAGATTCATAGAATGGGAAATCATCTTGTTAAGTGAAATAACCACTCTGAGACTAAGAAACATCATGTGGATTCTGGTGCCTTGCATCATGTATATACATTTTTTTCTAATTTGGAGAGGGGAAGGGAAATAACAAAATTGTAACAATGAGACGTAGAAGACACTACGTTGAAAACAAACTTTACAACTTTGTGGGGTGGGGAGAGGGAGAGGGAGGGAGGAAGGAATTGGGGAGGGGGAGAGAGAAGGGGTGGTAGGGGAAAAACAAAGGAGGGAGTAACAATGATTGATAGGAAATGTACTCATTACCTTACTCGTGTAACTGTAACCCCTCTATACAGTATCTTTACAATAAAAAAATAAAAAAAAAGAGAGATGCTGGCGCAAGAAAATAAAGAAATATGTGGAATTAAAAAGAATAAAACAAAAAACAACGAACAGACAATAGTAGTGAGAAAAGAAAAATGGATCAGTGGAAAATGAGACAAGAAATGAATGTGGGAAATTAGGATAAGTCAGAATACCAGTGACCAAATTATCTGAAATACATGTATGAAAAATGTCATAATACACTAATTTGCACAATCATTGATACACACTGATGACAAAGTGTTTGACAGTTAAACAGCAATGTTGAAAAGATTAAACACAGCTAGTCTGACAACAATTGTGCAAATGTGGGAAGGAAGATACAGCCAAAGATTTAACACACCAGTGAGGGAGAAAACAACAACAACAACAAAACAGAGTCAGCTTTGACACAGTGACAACCACCCACATTGTGTGGGGCAAAAAACAAACCTGTATAAAGATGGCAAGAATGAGATGAAGAGCCTGGCTTCTTGGACTGCGTACACTCTGAGGAAGCCCAGACATTGTGGAGAGAGGGGGTTCAGACAGGAAAGGTTGTAGGAAATTTGGAACATCATTGAGGGCAACAAGGGACCCAGGACAGTGTATTCCCACGGATGACCTCTGGGACACCGTACACAATGGACACATGTGCACTGAGGGGAAGCTGAGCGGAAGAAGGGTGCACTGGCTCCCTTCCACCAATGGAGCTGTGTCCTAGGGGCCTTAGCTCCTGCCCAGAACTTTCTCTTCAATAGAGGAAGCCCTTAGCCAAGAATTCCAAGTATGGAGCCCTGTGAAACATTCTTCCTGAGTTCCTTTATTCCTGTCCTTCAGTTATCTAGAAATGAATGTGGAGATGGAGTTACTAGGGAATAGAAATGGCCCTAGTGGGAGGTTAGGAAAGGGAGCAGTGTGGAGAGTCACGAGGATAAGTCAGAGTGCCTTCTATACACGTGTATTCATAGCTGGGGAAAATTCAGAAGGAGAAATAAAGAGACACAACGTCTTTATATCTGGATGCTTGCAGAACTTAGGTTTATTTATGAGTAGGAATTACAGCATTTGAGAACAGAAAAGATTAAAGAGCAAACACTTCCATGGGGTGGGGGGTAACATGACAAAGTGACTGATTTCAAAGAAAATGCAATTTTTTTGTTTCTTTTGGACACAGTCACCTGTCAGGGGAGGGGCAGTGTGTTGAAAGGTCCACATGAACCTTTGCAGTTGGCTTCCCATGATTCAGCATCAAGAATGCTGACTGCTGAAGACCAGGAACATGCGTGTCAACTTGCTCAGCAGCAAGAACCACTGCAGCAGCTAGGGCGGCAACAGGGCTGGCAGCAGCTGGACACACAGCAGCTGGGGCGGCAGCAGCTAGAAATGCAGCAGCTGGGCTGGCAGCAGCTCGAAATGCAGCAGGTAGGGCGGCAGCAAGGCTGACAGCAGGGCCTGCAGCAGCTGGACACACAGCAGCTGGGGCGGCAGCAGCTAGAAATGCAGCAGCTGGGGCGGCAGCAGCTGGGCTGGCAGCAGGGCCTGCAGCAGCTTGAGATGCAGCAAGTAGGGCGGCAGCAGGGCTGGCAGCAGGGCCTGCAGCAGCTGGACACACAGCAGCTGGGGCGGCAGCAGCTGGGCTGGCAGCAGGGCCTGCAGCAGCTGGACTCACAACAGCTGGGGCGGCAGCAGCTGGGCTGGCAGCACACAGACTGGCAGCAGGGCCTGCAGCAGCTGGACTCACAGCAGCTGGGGCGGCAGCAGGTGGTCCTGCAGCAGGTGTACTGCAGGCAGCTGGGCTGGCAGCAGCCCTGCTCAGAACAAGATGAGCCACAACAGGAGCTGACCATGGTATCAGAGGATGGAGGTTCTAGTAGGTTTTCTAGAGGATGGTCTGGAAAGTTTGGAAGTCTCCTTGCCTGTAATGCCCTTTTATACCCTGCTAAGGGCCTGCCATCAGCGTTCTTTCCTTGTTATTATTTGTGTTAATAAATAGGTGATTATCAAATTAGGTAATTATATTTGCCTGGTGAAATGTCAGGGAAGGGAAACATAATTTCCTTTTCCTGGTGTAGGATTCACTACCTCCTGATTGTCTGTTTTTGTTGGTTTGGTTTTAGTTCCTCAAAGAGAGCTGTCATGTGATGTTCTGTGTCTCAGGATGTACACTTCCATCTTAATTTTTGCAGCATGTGCTGTCTACGCCTAAGGAATCATGATTCTTATAGACCCATAATGGTTTTATTGACCCAGGAGGATAAAGTTGCATGTGAGTCTTCAGGCTCCTTCATCCTGGTTCAGGTGGGCAAGAACGATGTGTATGTGGAAAACCCTTGATATGAGAATAGGACCATTAGAACATGACCGTTTCCTTGCTGAGAACTGCAATTCTTTATTGGGGGAGGGGCAGATTTTTATGGGATACACAAGATTACATCCTGTTGGAAAACTGAATGGTAACATATTGGTGGATTTTTTTTTCCTCTTGAGGCTGAGCCCCTTAAAATTGTTTTTTTTCTGTCCTTCTTTTTCAATATCCAGAAAAGACTAGTCATAAATACAATTGAATTCCAATTCAAGTTATCTAAACAATAGAGAAAATGGTTCTGAAATAGAAACTTTGAACACTGAGCTCTGAGACAAAAGTACTGATAACCCTTTGTATTATTTCAGGTCACTTGAATATCAAAACTAACAAACCCACATGGGCAGAGAAGGAACCAACTAAGCATAATGGGAGATTACTAATGAAAATAGTCTTGAGTTTAATAAAATTCAACCAGGAGAGTCATCAGTGACACTACTCCTTGCTAAATCTCTCCTGACCTGGTGAAATGGATGATGCATATGTGCTGGACACACAAATTGTGATGTGTACTTCGGTGGTACTTCTTTTATTATATAGAGAGGTAGAAGGGATGATAGAAATGTATTTGTGTGTTCATGTTCTTGAACTTTAACATTTTTATTTTATTGTAAAGATGCTGTACAAAGGGGTTACAGTCACATGAGTAAGGTAATGAGTGCATTTCTTGTCGAGCATTGTTACCCCCTCCTTTGTTGCTCTCCCACTATCCCTTCTCTCCCCTACCTTCCCCACTCTCTACTCCCCCCGCCCTGAAGTTGCAAAGTTCATTTCAACATAGTGTCTTGTGAGTCTCATTGTTGCAATGGGTCATCCTGTGACCTTGTTTCCCAAATTAGACAAATGTATATACAAGATGGAGGGTACCAAAATCAAGTACAGTGAAAACAAGGGGTATACCATAGGGGGAAGAACATACAAAGGAAACAAAAAAAATCACATAGTAGATTTAAAAAACAACAACAACAAAGAAAGACCTCTTGTGTCCATATCTTGGGGTTCATTTCACTTAGCATCGTCTTATACTGTCATATGTACATAGCTTTTGAGCTTTTCTGCTTATCTGATAAGGTTCTCCTAGACATATACTAACTATTGAAACAAGGGAAACTATAGGACCTATATTTCTTTGGGTGTGGCTTACTTCACTTAATATGATTTTTTTCCGAGTCTTTCCATTTCCTAACAAATAGGGAGGTGTCATTCTTCCTGATAGGAGCATAGAATTCCAGTGTGTGTGTGTGTGTGTGTGTGTGTGTGTGTGTGTGTGTGTGTGTGTGTGTGTGTGTACCACATTTTCCTGATCCATTCATCTACTGCTCAAGGCTAGAGCTCTATCATTTGAGCCACAGCGCCACTTTCGATTTTCTGGTGGTTTATTGGAGATAAGAGTCTCACAGCTTTTTCTGCCCAGGCTGGCTTTAAACCATGATCCTCAGATTTCAGCCTAGCTACTAAAGCTAGGATTACAGGTGTGAGCCACTGGTGCCCAGCATTGAACTTTTATGTGCATAGAATTCCAATGTATTGATTTTCTATTTGAAGTTCACTTCAGCAGTGGCTGAGAATATTTAGAACTGAACACAGTCTCCATTCAGCATCCCAGAGGGCACGGAGCCTCTCACTGAAGTTGGGTGAGAGGAACCGAGAGGCTTAGGAATGACTGAAGCTAACTGCAAAGTGGAACCTTCACTTGAGACCCCCAGTGCCAGCTGATACTAGCACTGGATCTAGTGAGACAACAAGAAGGAGACAACAAAACCGTCCCTGATTTCTGATGCCTAGGAGCTGTGAAGGTGTTTCAAGCTGTTAGGTTTTTCAGGTAATATGACAAGAGATGACTCATTCAGAATTCTCTGGTCCTGCACACCACACCGGGGAACCAAAGCATGATCAGAGGGTACAGAGAAGTAGAAATGCCAGCAGCACAGATCTAGCCATAAAGCTTGAAACCCCAACACGTTGACTGTTCCCTGGGTGGTACAGCACACTGCTTTACTGAGATGAGGAGAAAGGAGTTGGAAGGGGTTACTGGCATCACAGAGGCATGCCATGAGGCCTGTTTTCCAAAGTTTGTATGAAGTATTATTGCAGAAATTAACCCCCTGGGGAGTTCCAGGGATAATAAGATTACAGAAAATAAAACCCACCCAGGAAGAACATTTAAAGTCTAAAAACTAATGTGGGTCTAACTGTGTGATGGATGAGTTGGGAATGGTAATTAGGGAAGGGAGTTGTGTAACTCACAGCAGTCTGTGAGTATCTAGAGAACGTGGTAATCTCCATGGTAGAATGTCCTGCCTTACTCAACTTTATGCTCCATGGTCCATTTAAGTGAATCTGAGCTCTCCACCCACCGCCACTCCCCTCCCATAAACCCAGGCTCTGTAGAAGCAAAGTTTTGGCTCCAAAGCTGTGGATACTCCATTGGACTGACACTTGCTACTGTCATTCCCGGGCTTCTCAGGTGATTGGACTAGCAGGAAATGTAATGAGCTGTTATTCCCAGTTGCAGCTTCATGAGGAAGCCGGAAGATTGTTGCCAAGTGAGGAGTGGGTGGTGAAAAGGAGAGTGCTCAATGCTAGGGGAGCCTCTGGAGCAGTCCTAGAATTCTTATTTCCAAGAACAACAGCTGTAGTCCATTAAGAAAGGGCTCAGAACGTTCAGGATGTGACGGTGGTGGGTCTTCCAGGCAAGCCACCTCCATCAGCAGACATTCCCTAGGCAACTTTCTCCAGTTAATTTGGACCAGGTAAATGGAGTGACCTGAATAAGAGAGTCCAATTTTACCTTTCATCATGAAGGTCCCAGCGCCTTAGTTACTGTGACTATCCAATGCAAGGAGTGCCCTCTGTCCACGTGCCCTGCTCTCCCTGTAGCTTTCCTGAGCTATCTCTGTTTCCTCAAGACATGTTTTCTCTCTGGACCCTCTCCTCCTGCCCTGTGACGGTGCCCCTTGATAGGTGAGTTAAACTGCAAAGAGCTAGCCACCTTACTTCCTTTTTCTCCCTCCCCTCCCCTCCCACAAGTTGTATAGTTCAGTTTCAACACAGTGTCTAGTGAGTATCATTGCTGCATTTGTTCACCCTTTGTCCCTCCATTTCTGTGCTGCCACCATACTTCTCAGAGGAGAATGAAACGGTAGTTTCATTCACACTCTACAGAAGCTTGTTAATCAAATGAATTTGAGCTCATTAGGAATATTCCTTTAGGATTGATGTATACCTCTTGCTTCTATGTTTTAATGGATTGTACCCAGAGCATTTCCTTGTAGATCACTTGCAGAAGAATCCTTATTTCAGGTTCTACTTTTAGTGAATGCAATTTATTACACATGGCCTAGTTTCCTAATCCCTAGTTTATTAAACTGTCCTAACTCATGCTGTGTGTGTTTACATACCACCTCCTCTGCCCATAGCATTCACCTTAACACAGCCACCTCAAGTGATAGCTTCCACTCATATTTCCTTAAACACAGTAGCACAAAGCACCTTCACCATGAACATTTTCCCTGAAGCTCTAGAACTGCTCTTTAAAAGCAAACAACTAGCCAGACAATAGTGGCTCATGCCTGTAATCCTAGCTATTCAGGAGACTGCGATCTGAGAATTGCTGTTCAAAGCCAGCCTGGGCAGTAATGTTCATGATACTTTTATCTCCAGTAAACTACTTAGAAAAAGCCAGAAGTGGACCTGTGGCTCAAGTGGTAGAGTAACTTTGATCACAGAGAGGCTCAGGACAGAGTCCAGACCCTGAGTTTAAGCCCCAGGACTGGCAAAAAAAAAAAACAACTTGTCTCTCTTTGCTTAAAATTGTTTCATCTATTTGAGACAATTCAATATGAATTTTAGGGATTTTTTCCTAGTTCTATGAAGAATGTCAATGAAATGTCAATGAAATTACATTGAATCTAAAGATGGTTTTGGTAAAACAGACATTTTCACATGTTAATTCTGTCCATCCATGAACATCAGATATCTTTCCACCCTCTATGTCATCCCCAATTTCTTTTTTGTGGGTTTCACAGCTCACATTAGATTGATTAGTAGGTATTTAGGGCATACATGCTATCATGTGCTTTCTTTCTCATGGGATTATTGTGGTTGGAACCAAAATACCTGGCTTCAAGTTATACTACAGAACCATAGTAAGAAAAGAAAAAGAACTGGCGCGCGCAAACACACACACACACACACACACACACACACACACACACACACACACACAAAACCAGAGCCAGGTGCTGGTAGCTCATGTGTATATTCCTAGCTACTCAGGAGGTTGAGATCTCAGGATCACAGTTCAAAGCCAGCCTGGGCAAGAAAGGTGGTAAGACTCTTATCTCCAAATAACCACCAGAAAACCAGAAGTGAAGGTGTGGCTCAAAGTGATAGAATACTAGCTCTGAGCACAATAAAAAAAAAAAAGCTCAGAGACAGTGCCCAGACCCTGAGTTGAATACCACAGCCAACAAAGAGAGACAGAGACAGAGAAAGAGAGAGAGACAGAGAGAGAGAGAGAGACCCATAGTCTGATGGAGTAAATACAGAGGACCCACAATCAGATAGTGGAATCCATCTAGGTGTCCATAAACAGAGGATAAATAGATAATGTAGCATATGTACTCAACAGAATATTATGCAATCATTAAGAAGAAAGAAATCATGGCATTTGCAGGGAAATGAATGCAAATGATGATCATAATGTTAGCTGAACTCAGAAAGAGCAATGTTTTATATGTGGAATCCTTTTTTTTAAAAAGTTATGAAAATAGAAAGGGAAATTATTTTGTAGACTAGGAAAAGTGTGGTAAGATGGTAAGGGTAAGGGGTAAAGGTGAGGTAAAACAATTACCTATGACACTGAGTACTTTACTTGGGAAACTGAGGAGACAGCAACAGGCCTATAAGGTTTACCATTTTAATGGGTGATAAACTCAACGACTGACCCTATCCCCTGGAAAGCACCCATCTTGTGCTTAAAATATGGAGACAGACACAGACACTGAGCTCAGGGACATGGGACCTTAGATTGTGCTCTCAGGACAGCCCAAGACAAAGGTTTGATAGGAAGTAGTTTACTTGGGAAATTATCCCAGAAAATCTCATTAGGGAACCTTTCAACTCTCTAGGTCAAGAAGGAAGTCATTGCAGAGTAAAATAAAGAGCAGAGCACCTCTAGATGCATCTGGATTCCCATCACACCTCTAGAATAATACTTGTCCATCAAGAACCCAGAGTATTTGTTCTCCAGCTCCATTTTCCTGGCTGAACTCTGCTATAACTTGTGCCAGTAGCTTGCTGTTAACCTAAAGAAGGCTTTGAGCAGAGAATACCAGACATCCCACCTATGAACTTATAATCTCTGACCAGAACAAGGACTGTTGTAGGAACAGAGCTGATATAGCCAAAAACCCTTGCAATAGTCATTTTATATGGAATGGGTGACACAAACATTCTACTCACAGATACAAAATTGAGAAGAGAAAAATCAGGAGACATAAAGCCTTTAGATTCAGATGTCTGCGAAATTCAGATTTATTTAAGATGTAGAAATTACAAGATTTAAGAAAAGGGATATGTCAAGGAATGAATCCTTCCATGGGGGTAATATGATAGTTGATAGTTGACGGCTCACAGAGAAAAATTCAGTTTCTATCAATGTTAGAGACAGTCAGCAGCCTGGCAGGAGAGGAACCAGTATAGGTGTAAGTTTCCCAAATTGCCTTCCATGATTTAGCTCACAAACTGGCTACATTAGTGTTGACTGCTGAAGACCAGGGAAGTGTGGGTCAGAGCACTCAGCAGCAAGAACCACCACAGCAGCTGGGCCTGCAGCAGCTGGAGATGCAGCAGCTGGGGCGGCAGCAGGGCTGGCAGCACACGGACTGGCAGCAGGGCCTGCAGCAGCTGGACACACAGCAGCTGGGGCGGCAGCAGCTGGGCTGGCAACAAGGCCTGCAGCAGCTAGAAATGCAGCAGCTGGGGCGGCAGCAGCTGGAGGTGCAGCACTGGGGCCTGCAGCAGCTGGAGGTGCAGCACTGGGGCCTGCAGCAGCTGGAGGTGCAGCACTGGGGCCTGCAGCAGCTGGAGGTGCAGCACTGGGGCCTGCAGCAGCTGGAGGTGCAGCACTGGGGCCTGCAGCAGCTAGAGATGCAGCAGCTGGGACGGCAGCAGCTGGTGGTACAGCACTGGGGCCTGCAGCAGCTGGAGGTACAGCAGCTGGGGCGGCAGCAGGGCTGGCAGCACACAGACTGGCAGCAGGGCCTGCAGCAGCTGGAGATGCAGCAGCTGGGGCGGCAGCAGCTGGGCTGGCAACAAGGCCTGCAGCAGCTGGAAATGCAGCAGGTAGGGCGGCAGCAGCTGGGGCGGCAGCAGGGCTGGCAGCACACGGACTGGCAGGAAGGCCTGCAGCAGCTGGAAATGCAGCAGGTAGGGCGGCAGCAGCTGGGGCGGCAGCTGGGCTGGCAGCACACGGACTGGCAGCAGGGCCTGCAGCAGCTGGACACGCAGCAGCTGGGGCGGCAGCAGCTAGAGGTGCAGCACTGGGGCCTGCAGCAGCTGGGCTGGCAGCAGCCCTCCTCAGAGCAGGTGGAGCCACAACAGGAGTTGACCATGGTGTCGGAGGATGGAGGTTCTGAGTTAGTGTTCAAGGAGATGTGGCTGGAAAGTTTGGAAGTCTCTCTGGCCCTGATGCCCTTTTATACCCTGCTAAGGGTCAGCTGTCATTACCTATGGCATTCTTTCCTTGTTGTTGTTTGTGTTAATAAATTAGTCCAGTTTATTTTCCTGGTTCCACTTTCCAAGATGTAAAGAAAACATGGTTTTCCTTTTCCTGATTTGTAAGCAATTGTGTCATTTTTTACAAAAACATTTTCTAAGGTATCCTTTTTCTAGTTCCTCAAAGAAAACTGTCACATGACATTTTGTGTCTCATATACAGTACTTCCTGTGTATTCTTAGTAATCATGATTATAGATTCTTACTGAGCCTTAATTGTTTCTGGTGACCCAGGAGGAAGTACCTGCATCAGAGTGTGGTGGCTCATTCCTAATGGGTCTGGTTAGCATAAGAATTTTGAATGCAAAAGCCCATTGACATGAGAACAGGAAGACTTCTAGCCTCTTCCTCACTCCAAATCACAATATATTTTCTAGACTTCTTTGGCAAACACAGAGGTCTTTCAAGTTGGACATCTGAATGGTGAAATGTTGGATTTCTTTGTTTGTTTGTTTGCCAGAAGCAAATTTCTAAAACTGATTTTTAGGGCATTGTGGGAGAGCAGCAATATTCAGCTATGTACATCATGAAGTTCAGATATCTTCAATTCCACTCTATAGGCTTATTTTCCTTCTAATTTTCTATTGTTTTTCTGGCCTTAGCAGACATGTCAATTCTTGTCTTTTCAAATTTTTTCTTTGCTAACCAGCTAGGTATCCCAGAGTTGTTACCTCTGCCTCTCATTTATAGTTGACCTGATTTCTCTTGAGTTCATGAAAAGAATGAACCAGACACTCTTGTTTCATTGTTTACATGGTAGATTACACTTTCACTTTGGGGTCTTCACAAAAGCTAGTACAAAAAGAAAGAGAGATGGAAAACAGGTTACTCGGATTAGGAAAATTATCTGGAATTTATAGTGTGACTACCTTAAAGGCTCAAAGGATCCAAAAATGCCTATCCAATCGGCTAGGTAATTAGTGTTCCTAAAAATGAGGGCTGCCAATCTATTTGATTGATCCCTGTGTGTCAAACTCAAGCAGTGAGCAGTATCTCTAAAAATTCTCAGTTTGGGAAGTGGCTCTGTGGCTCAAGAGGTAGAGTGCTTGTCTTGAGCTGAAGAGCTGATGGACAGCGCCCAGGCCCAGAGTTCAGGCCCCACAACCAAAAAAAAAAAATTCTCAATTTGTAACTTTATAATGAAAATCAAACTTCTGTTGATTATTTATGAGTCATTGAAATATTTATTTAAAAAAGGACCCATTGCAACAATGAGATGTACAAGTCGTTATGTCGAAAGAAAACGAACTTTACACCTTTGGTGGGGGGGAGGGGAAGCAGGGAGGATTGGGTGGGGGGGGGGAGGATGGAAAGGGATGGGAAAGGGAAACAAAGAAACAAAGGAGGAGGCTACAATGCTTGATAAGAAATGTACTTACTGGGGCTGGGAAGGTGGCTCAGTGGTAGAGCGCTTGCCTTGCATACATGAGGCCCTGGGTTCGATTCCTCAGCACCACATAAGCAAAAAAAAAAAAAGCCGGAAGTGGCCCTATGGCTCAAGTGGTAGAGTGCTAGCCTTGAGCTGAAGAGCTGAGGGACAGTGCCCAGGCCCATGTCCAGGCCCAGAGTTCAGGCCCCACGACCCAACCCAAAAAAAAAAAAAAAAAGAAATGTACTCATTATCTTGCCCATGTAATTGTAACCCCTCTGTACAGTGTTTTCACAATAAAAAAATATTCATAAAACGTCTATTTAAATATGATTGGTGAGCATTTCCATCACTTTAAATATATATTCAAATATATTATTAAAGATATTTAATACCAATAATAAAACATATTTAATAATATATTTGTAATTTTGTCATATGTAATACTATATGGTTGTATATTTAAATATTTGGATATATTAAATACAGGTTAAGTTTATTTAAAGTGATAGAAATGCCCTCTTTGTTCTTAAACTATCTTCCTTCGTTACTTAACCTAATCTTTGTAAAATCTTGAGTAGCATTTTTGTCCACCTGAATTTTTTTAATTTCTTTTTTTTTATTGTGAAAATATCATACAGAGGGGTTACAATTACATGGGCAAGATAACGAGTACATTTTTTATCAAGCATTGTTACCTCCTCTTTGTTTCCCCTTCCCATCCCTTCCTATAATTCCCCTCCACCCTCCACCCTCCCCTCCCAACTAAAGTTGTAAAGTTCATTTTTCAACATAATGACTTGTACGTCTCATTGTTGCAATGGGTCCATTTGTATCCTTATTTAAACGATTTGTTTTTTCCCTTCCCCTACACAAATTATACCAACATCAAATACAGTGAAAGCAGGGGTTATACCATGGGGGAGGGACATACAAAGCAACATAGAAATCATCTTATAAATATGTTAGAAACAATTGCATGAAAGAAAAAAAAATTTGAATACTTGTCTTGGGGTTCATTCCCCTAACATCAACTTGCCATTATGAAAAACATATGTGCTGAAAACATTTGCTATATATATATATATATATATATATATATATATATATATAGTGTAATAAATAATTCTCAAGAAAGAAATGCAAGCCCATGTCTAACAGGACATTTCTTTCACCAGAAAGTGCTAATATGTCTTTTCTTGACTCAAAATCCCTTTCTCCATCCCAGAAATGTTCACTAGTATGAGTTCTAAAGTCTTTATAATTGTTTTTTTTATTAATACTGTTACCATCTTGATGCACATTCATAAAGAACAATTTAGTTTTATAGTAATAGGGAATTTTACAAAAATATTTACTAGATACTTGGGACTTTTGGATTTTCTCCATTCCTTCACTCATCATTCAATCCAGTGTTGCACATTCTCTATGTGTTGGGGTATTGTCCGCATTCTTTTGTTCTTTTATGATTCGATAGAATACAAGGAATTATTTTGATTGTTTATATATACTGAGAGTTGTTTTGCATCCTAAAGAATGATAAAATAGCATGTATTTGGAAGAAAGTTACATGGTCTACTGAGTAGAATATGTATTATGGAACTGTTGTATAAAATACTATGTAGATGTTTTTCAAGCCCATTTTGCATATAATATCATTTTAGTCTGAGGTTTCTTTTCTGTGTGTGTTTGTAGGAATTTTTTTTTCAGGAGGGAGCAGGTCTAGATAATCTACCTATTGGTAAGAGGAGGGTTTTGAAGTCACCACTATCATTGTGTTTGGGGCTACCTATCATTTTTAGTTCAATAGTATTTATTTAATGAAGCTAGATACACCACCAATATTTGGCTTGTAGATGTGAGCAATTGGTATTCATTCTTGACAGATTGTTCCCTTTATTAATATGAAGTGACATTCTTTGTCTCTCTTAACCAATATTGGTTTGAAGTATATTTTATCATGTATAAGTATAGCTTCTTTTGCCTGATTCTGGGGTTCATTTACTTGGTAGATCTTTGTCTAATCTTTCACTCTAAGCCAAATTTTGTTTTTCTTAGTGAGTAAAACTAGATTGGCTAGATTGTGCCCTTCTATGTCTTTTGACTAGAGATTTGAGACCATAACTATTCAGTTTTATTATTGACAGGTACAGAGTCATGTTTGCCATTTTGTTGTTTCTGCATAGTTTGGATGTTATTTTAATTTATTTGAACATCTGATGGGATTTATTTATTTTATTTTAGTTTTCTTTCTTGCATTTTTCATCTTTTGTGTATAGGATTCATTTGAATATCTTTTATAGTGATGGCTTAGTGGTCATGAATATATTTGGTTTCATTTACCATTAATCTAGGATGGTAGTTGTTTGCTTTTCAGAACTTCAAATACATCATTCCAAGCCTTCCTTAAAGCTGTCTGGTGAGAAATCTATTAGCAGATAAGCTTACTATTGTATATAACTTGGTTCTTCTCTCTTGCAACTTTCAGTACTTTTTCTTGTCCCACACACTTAATATTTTACCTTTGTCATGCCTTAGTGTGGTTCTTTTCTAGCCTTGTCTTTTGAGTGTCCTAAACCCTCTTGTACCTGTATGGCTGCTTCTTTCTCAAGGTTTGAGAAATTTTTCATCTACTGTTTTATTGAATATGTTTTCTATTTTTTTTTTTTGGTCAGTTGTGGGGCTTGAACTTGAATATGTTTTCTATACCTTTAGCTTTTAGCTCTTCTTTTATGCTCATGATTCTTAGGTTTGGTCTTTCAATAGTGTCTGAGATGTTTTACATGTTCCACCTGTATTTCTTAATTTCTACTCCATTCTTTTTCTTTTCTTTTTGTTTTTTTTGTCAATGTGATGTACAGAGGGGTTACAGTTACATAAGTAAGGTAGTAAGTATATCTCTTGTCAAACTTGTTACCCCTTTCCTCATTTTTCTCTACTTTCCCTCCTCCCCAAACCCCACCCCCAAGTTGTACAAATCATTTCAAACACATTGTCTTGTGTATAAGCTGTCCTCTCTGTTCTTTATTTGACTATCTTAGTGCATCTATGTTATTCTCAAGCCCTGAAGTTCTGGCTTTAATTTTATCCATACTATTAGAGACTTTCTACAGAGGTTTTGCTTTTTTGTGAGGTTTTGTTGAGTTTTTATTTTTTGACTTGTTGAGATTTTCATTTCCTGAATTTCAGTTTGATTCTTTTTCAGGTTTTCTGTATCCTTACCAAATTAATCTGTATTGGCTTTCTTACATCATTCAGCTTTCCTCTTCATATAGTCCTTTGTATTTATTCACTCCTTTGTAGCTATAAATTTTTATTTATTTATATTTACTCTGAAGTCTAGACTATCTAACTCTTGTTTTCTGAAATGGCTTCTTTGTAGTGAATATGGCTAGTGAGGCCTTAATTTTCAGACCATCATGAGTTGTGACTCAGTCCCAAAGCCTGTCTGGTCCATGGCCTCCTGCCCTCAATCAATGTAAACTGATTGCTTGGTAGTAAGAGCTCTCTACAAGCATAGGCTTAGATCTTTTATTTCCTGGAATGACTCTCAAGATATGAAGTTGCTCTCAATATCCAATTTCCTTCTCCATGTCCACTTCTGACTTCCCAATCAACTCTTCTCACTCAGGGAAGGGGAGATAATTGTGGCAATCACATAGGTAAATATGAGCAAAGGCCCTCCTAGACATATCTGAAAATTTTATAATGAAATGGACTTCTTTAACTGACTATGGCAGTATATGCCTATAATCCCAGCAATTCAGGGATAATAAGGTCCTTGCTAATCTAGGGAACATTCCAAGACTTTGTCTCCCATACACAAAAAGAATAAAAACTATTATTTTAAAAAATAATTAATATATTCTGATAAAATGCAAAAAACTATAAACCAAACTAAAAACAACAAAATATTAAAAGAGCAATTGTGCAAAAATTGGAAAGAGGATATGGCATCATATTCAGAAAGTTTATAAATTAATGAACAGTAAGCCAAAAGGGTGACCCTATACTCCATGGCAAGCATCCATAATTTGTTATACTGTGGTGAAAAAGACATGCACTAGATTGAAATCTTGGTTGTCTTAGACTATGCTCTTTAGAATAGATGAATATCAAGTAGTTTACTTGACTATAATCCTAACTACTCAGGAGACTGAGATCTGAGGGTCACAATTCAAAGCCAGCATGGGCAGAAAAATCCATGAGACTCATAGCTCCAATTAAGCATCCAAAAAAGCCAGAAGTGGAGCTGTGGCTCAAGTGGTAGAATTCTAGACTTGAACAAAAAAAAAAGCTGAGGGACAACACCCAGGCCCTCCCTGAGGTCAAGCCCAGGACCTGAACACAAACATACAAAAAGTAGTTTACTTTGGAAAAGATCCTAGAAAGAATTGTAAGGAAATTATGAAGTGATATAGGGAAAGGAAGATATTGTTACAGAGTGATTTAAAGAGCAGAACCCTTCAGGAGATAACTGGACTTCAGTCCATCTAAACACCTGCAAAGCATACTCCGTCAAGGGAGATATCCAATGTGCTCACGAGCTTCTTACACTGGTTGAGCTCTGCTAGAGGCTTTACTCATGCCAATAGCATGTTTTTCAACAAAAGTCTTCATGCAACATGTTTCAGACACTGGCTCTATGAATCCATACTTCTGTATTCGAATGAGGAAGACTGAGAGGACACAGCTGACACACATCAAATCATGTATTATGATCTTTTCATTATTAAGAGGTGAGTCACAAGAAATTAACCAATAAAGACAAGAGATAGAGAAGGGAAAATAAGGAGACATAATGTGTTTATATTTGGATGCTTGCAAAATCCAGATTTATTCAAAATGTAGGAATAACAGCATTGGAGGAAGAAATATTCCTCTAGAGGAATATTTGGTCACATGATAACATGATTTAGTAGCACAATCGCAGACAGATATGTGAGAAAACTCAAAACTTCTGTCTATGTTGGAGAAAGTCACCTTGCAGGAGAGGGGACAGTGTATTTAGAGGCCCATATGAACCCCCAGGGGAACTGAGCTGTTACAACTGGCCTCCCATGATTCAGCTTATAGGTGATTTATATCAAGAATGTTGGCTACTGAAGACAAGGAGAATGTAGGTCAGAGTGCTCAGCAGCAAGATCCACCACAGCAGCTGGGGCGGCAGCAGCTGGGGCGGCAGCAGGGCTGGCAGCACACAGACTGGCAGCAGGGCCTGCAGCAGCTGGACACACAGCAGCTGGGGCGACAGCAGCTGGGTTGGCAACAAGGCCTGCAGCAGCTTGAAATGCAGCAGCTGGGGCGGCAGCAGGGTTGGCAACAGGGGCGGCAGCAGCTAGAAATGCAGCAGCTGGGGCGGCAGCAGGGTTGGCAACAGGGGCGGCAGCAGGTAGAAATGCAACAGCTGGGGCGGCAGCAGGGCTGGCAGCACACAGACTGGCAGCAGGGCCTGCAGCAGCTGGAAATGCAGCAGCTGGGGCGGCAGCAGGTGGTCCTGCAGCAGCTGGGCTGACAGCAGCCCTCCTCAGAGCAGGTGGAGCCACAACAGGAGTTGACCATGGTGTTGAAAGATGGAGGTTCTGGGTGGGTATCCAAGAAGGTGGGTTAGAAAGTTTAGAAGTCTGCCTGCCTAGGGTGTCCTTTTATACCCAGCTGAGGGTCTGCTGTCATGACCTATAACATTCTTCCCTGTTGTTCCTTGTTGTTGTTTGTATTAATAAATAGGCACTTATCCAATTAGGCAGGTTTGTTTTTCCTGTTAAGAATTTAAAGTGGATGGAAAATATGACTTCCTTTTCCTGATGTGTTAAGATTCATCTCTCATTCCTTATAGATCTACCTCCTAAGAGTCTTTCTCATTTCTGTTACAGAAATCTGTCACCTAGCATTCTACCTAGTATGTATGCTTTAGTCTCATTTTGTCTAGCACATCTTATGAGGGACTCAACTATTTCTGGTGACCCGGAAGGATAAAGTTGCATTGGAGTCACATAGGTTATTCATCATGGGTCAAGTGGACAAGGAAGGTTTAAAAATGTGAGAGACCACAGACATGAGGATAGGAAGCCCATTAGGACATGACCCTATCCCTGCTGGGGATCATGAGCCATGTTTTATATTTCTTATGAGAAACACAAAGCAGTGAAATGTTGATATTTCATTTTCTTTCCTTTATACATAATATATACATATTTGTACATAATATATGTCATACATAAAAATATATTTATATTATTTATATTATTATCAAGCAAACGAGGGAATTGGGCTACAGAGCTCAGGTCTTATCAGGACAGGTGCATTCATGTCCTCCTCTTTTTCCAATCCAAGTTTGATGATTTATATCTGTCTTTCCTTCTCTCTGTGGAAGTTGCTGAGCACAGCATTATTCTTCAAGTCCTTATTTATATCCTCGCTTTTCAAACATGAAGGCAACGGGAATGGAGCAATAGTAAAAAGAGAAGACCAATAGTAAATAGACACCAAAATGGAAGAATGTTAGCTCATGCTATTTACAATATCAATATAGATACTGTAAAGGGTTAAAGGGTATACTGTGGCTCACGCCTGTAATCCTAGCTACTCAGGAGGCTGAGAGCTGAGGATCCCAGTTCAAAGCCTGCTCAGGCAGGAAAGTCCATGAGACTCTTATCTCCAATAAACCACCAGAAAATCAAAGTGGCACTGTGGCTCAAGTGGTAGAGTGCTCGCCTTAAGCTGAAGAGCTCAGGGATAGCATGAAGGCCCAGAGTTCAAACTCCATGACCAAAAAAATAAAAAATAAAAAGTCCATCCAGTTGGCTAAATGATTGGCATTTCTAAATATGAAGAATGTTACCAGTCCATCAGTTTGTCTTCTGTGAGTCAAGAAACAAGCAGAGATTGGACCTTAAGAATGGGATGACATCATTAAATGTCTTAATTAAGACAGTTTAAAGACCAAATACATCACAAACATCTGAAAAATAAATAAATAAAAATCGACTAGAAGACAGGGAAAATGCAGGGGAGGTGAATCGCTTCACATTTCCACTGAATTCACTAGGTTAGCTCTTCAACACCCTCCCTTTTCCCAGCCAAAAATAGATGATACAGAAGACTGTGGGTGACCACAGGGCATAGGAATTTTCATTGTTGGGAGGATAGAGATAGGAACAGATTCCCACCGTCTCTCATATGGGATCTCCATGGAGCCTGAACTGGCAGATGGATCCCTTCAAATAGCCAAAGAAGAAGATGCAGAGGTAGACTCAGGACTTGTGGAATGGAGAACACTTATAAATGCAAGTCACCTTCTCTCTGTCAAGGTGAATTCATCTTCTCTGTGTCACAATGTACTCCAAAGGATATGTTAGTCCTTCTGGACTACAAATATCATATTGACTCATAATTATGGTGGCATCAATTAGTCAAACCTGATAAACAAGGAGATGTAAATACTATGGGTACTGTACTTCAATAAGACATAGGTGCCCCAGCTGATAGGAAGTGCAGGTGACAATGGTTTACAGGGTTGTCACACTGATGCTGCGTTCAGAAGTCCAGCCTATCAAACACCCAACTGTCCCCCACTAATCTGTACCTTGCCAGCCAAAGAGTCCCAAGTAAGGGACTCTCTATGAGGAGATCGTACAGTTGCTTCTTTCTGACTGGAATTCACGTTCAGTTGGATAAGAGTCTGCTTTTCTCTCTGCAACTCCTTAGCACCATTATATTGAGGCTCCAGAAAACTTGAACTATCATCATGGTATCCTAAATAATTGCAGCTGGGATCAAGAGAAAACGCAGCACAGGTTATTGTACCATAAGCACAGAACTGTTGGACCCGTTGCATTGCTACAACTCCATATTGCTCTAACCCAAACCCCTGAGAATGTGATACTTTCAACTTATAAGCTGTGGCTAAGGTCCCAGCTTACAGCCGATACCCTACAAGACTGGCTGCCTGTCCTCCAGGAGGCTGTATGTACTTTAAACCTGTGACAGTAGTGTGAGGCTCTGTTCTCCATGATTAAAATTGCATTAACCTAGAAAAGCAAGAGATCAAAAGATGAGACACCTTCATCAACCTTGTCATCCCTTTTGGAAAAAAAAAATCATCCTTCCTCCACATAAATTTAGGTACCATAGAAGTAGAAGTCTTTTGCTGAAGAGGTGAGAATACGCAAGGCAACCCTGTAAGGGTTTCATGGGAATGAAAGTTATGTTTGTGACCTTAGCTCCCCGAGTTTCTCTCGCCACTGGGTAAGCAGGCAAGGTAGGTAAGGAGCTGTTCCAGGATAACTGACTTCATTGCCGTGAAGAAATAAGACACTGCTGCCCAGTGAGGTTAGGGAGGAAGATACCTAGCATTAGAGAACCCACTGGGGATGTTCTGGTATTTTTAGTTCCACTTATACCTGGGAATGTGCATGCCATGTAACCACTACAGCCAGTGTGGATATAGTAACCTTGAGTTCAGAACTCTCAGTAAAAGACCCAGATGACTCCACTAGGCAATTGTCCTAAATGACCAGAAAGCCTACCCAGTAACAGTTCATATCTCTATACATTATGGCCATGACCCGAATCATTTCCCAGGTGGCCAGGATGGACAGTACATATATCTAGTAAAGGACTTTTTACTTTAAAGGTCCTCATCACTAAGCTAGTGTGAGCACCACAGGCAGGTGGCTGATAAGTTCACTTAGTCAATTCCCTAGTTACTTGTTGTCAGGCACAGGTGACACTTCCTCTAGAGATAGCTACCCTATATACATTTTTCCTTCCTGTGCTGGGAAGCCCACAGGTGCTCAGTCAGTGAAAAGGTCCAGACCACCACCACCACTACCCCTTACCCCCAGACAAAAACAGCTTTGGTCCTATTCATTTTCTAGAGCTCACTGTTGGTCAAATGAAATATAGTCTTGGAGACTGCATTTCTTCTCAGCTGTTTCTAATACTCATGTTTCTCTTTGTTTTGGTAGCACAGAGCACTTCCTTATAAATGACCTGTACAAGAATCCCTTGCAGCCGGGTGCTGGTGGCTCATGCCTATAATAATCCTAGCTACTCAGGAGACTGAGATCTGAGGATTGTGGTTCAAAGCCAGCTGGCACAAAACAGTCTGTGAGACTCTTATCTCCAATTAACTACCAGAAGACCAGAAGTGGAGCTGTGGCTCAAAGTGGTAGAGCATTAGGCTTGAGTGAAAGAGCTCAGGGATAGTACCCAGGATCCAAACCTCATGACCAACAAAAACAAACAAAAGAGAATCCCTTGCTCCAAGGGGCACAAATCCAACTTATTCTACACAAGTTAGCAGGCCAACCCCTTATTCTGAGTTTTCTGTTACACGCACAGGTTTGTATCTCCTTCCACACAGCCTCCTATAGATCAGAGCACAATTTGTACACTCCTTTCCAGAAACTTCTCCACCAACAGTGTTGTGGCATACTTTGTGTAAACACTGTACCCTTTAGCCTGAGGCAGATGGTGTTGACCATTGATCTCAAACTCTAGATATATTCATATGCCAACACACATGTACACATAAACAAAAAGACTGAAGACAATAAGTCTGGCAACAAACGTTCAAAAATCTGAAAGGGCATATAGCGAGATATTCTGAAGATTGAGAAGCCAATGGACAGCAAACCCTGGGGCTGACCGTTCACCATCCCAACCATCCACATTGCATTAGAAAATGTGTGACAGGGAAATGTCACTAAGGTTGCAAATATGGTGACTTAGTCTGAGAGTCCTCTACAGAGACCCCACAAAAGGTTTGAGAGAGTACTTTCTTTCCTTAGGGAATGAGGCCAAGAAGACCTGTAGGGAAGCTGGGGAATGAACCAAGGTGGGAGGGGAGTGGTACAGCGTGACACAATTCCCCTGAGAGGGCAGATGGAGTCTAATCTGACTGAGGACCTTCTGGTCAATGGAATGACACAGGTCTACAGAAGGAGGAGCAAGCTGGAGCAGCTCGCTTTCACCCAGCTCCCTTTCACCGATCGAACTGTGTGGCTAGGGGCTGAATCCTCATGCCCATTGCTTGGCCTTCACCTGATGAGATTGCTCAGCAAGAGAGGACCAGGTGCTGACACTGTGAAGCTGTCTTCCTGTATGGTGTGCTAAGAGACCAAGGCCTGATGCACCAAACCCTTGATTTTGGTCTTTTTTTTTATCATTTAAGGATGTAAGGCAAACGCTAACAGGTATGAACAATAATTCCAGAAAGGAAAAAAAAAAACAAGGAGACATTATGCCTTTATAACTGGAGGCATGTAAGACTCCGATTTATTTAAGATGGAGGAGTGACAGCATTTGAGAAAACACAACAGAGAACAAATATTCCCATGAGAGGAACATTCCGCTCACAGAAGGTCTCCATTGACAATGTTGGCTACTGAAGACCTGGAGGGTACAGGTTTGAGCCCTCAGCAGCAAGATCCACTACAGCAGCTGGGCTGGCAGCAGCTGGGCTGGCAACAAGGCCTGCAGCAGCTAGAAATGCAGCAGCTGGGGCGGCAGCAGCTGGTGGTGCAGCAGCTGGGCCGGCAGCAGCTTGAAATGCAGCAGCTGGGGCGGCAGCAGCTGGTGGTGCAGCATTGGGGCCTGCAACAGCTTGAAATGCAGCAGCTGGGGCGGCAGCAGCTGGTGGTGCAGCAGCTGGGCCGGCAGCAGCTTGAAATGCAGCAGCTGGGGCGGCAGCAGCTGGAGCCACAGCAGCTGGAGCTAGTACAGCTGGGGCGGCAGCAGCTGGGGCGGCAGCAGGGCTGGCAGCACACAGACTGGCAGCAGGGCCTGCAGCAGCTGGACACGCAGCAGCTGGGGCGGCAGCAGCTGGGCTGGCAACAAGGCCTGCAGCAGCTGGAAATGCAGCAGGTAGGGCGGCAGCAGGGCTGGCAGCACACAGACTGGCAGCAGGGCCTGCAGCAGCTGGAAATGCAGCAGGTAGGGCGGCAGCAGCTGGGGCGGCAGCTGGGCTGGCAGCACACAGACTGGCAGCAGGGCCTGCAGCAGCTGGACACGCAGCAGCTGGGGCGGCAGCAGCTGGAGGTGCAGCACTGGGGCCTGCAGCAGCTGGGCTGGCAGCAGCCCTCCTCAGAGCAGGTGGAGCCACAACAGGAGTTGACCATGGTGTCGGAGGATGGAGGTTCTGAGTTAGTGTTCAAGGAGATGTGGCTGGAAAGTTTGGAAGTCTCTCTGACCCTGATGCCCTTTTATACCCTGCTAAGGGTCAGCTGTCATTACCTATGGCATTCTTTCCTTGTTATTGTTTGTGTTAATAAATAGGTGCTTATCAAATTATCCAAGTCTCTTTTCCTGGTTAAATTTTGAAGTCAAATGGAAAGCATTTCCTTTTTCCTGATGTTTTAGGATTTGTCATCTCGTAGGGAACCATCTCCTAAGTGAATTTCTTGGTTTTGTGCCCAAAGGAGAGCTGTCACCTGGGCATTCTGTGCTGCTACATGTTTGCTTCAGTTCTGTACATTGAATATCCTTACTTAATCATTATCCATGTAGGCTTATAATTGTTTGTGGTGACCCAAGAGGAAAGCTGTATTTGAGTCTGATGGCTCATTCCTAATGGGTCAGATGGGCATGGGAATATGAAGGAGAAAGACCATGAGACTGGAAAGCCATTAGGACATGTGCCTTCCTCCTCTGTGAATCATGACTTTTTGTAGAAAGGCTGGAACTATGGAATGGCTTTGTGGTGAAAAATTAACAATATAATATTGATGTCCTTAGTTTGTTCACCAGGAGCAAATCTATGAAACTCATTTGGTGGAGATGTGTTGCAGAACTCTCCTATCCCATAAAACTCAAGAACCTCAATTCTATACTACGGTTTCTTTACCTCCTGTCTTTGGTATGCTGTCTTTCTGGCTTTAACAGGATAGACCAACTGGCTTTAACAGGCTAGACCAACTCATGACTCATGCCCTTTTTCCAAGATTTTTTTCTTTGCCAACTTAAGTTAGGTCACCCACTGTGGTTGTCTCCTATTCTAATTTCCACCTGGACTTCCTGTTCTCTGTTGGGTTCCTGAATGCACTAAATTCTCATACTTCATCATTCAAGAGAGTAATTGCACCTTGCTCTGCTTTATACCATTTTGGGTGAAGAAAGAGAGATGGAAATCAGATATCTGGATTAAAAGAAATGCATCTCAAATGTGTGAAGAAGGGACATAGTAAAGTATTCTAGGATGCACATATCTCCATTCAAGTTTCTATGTGATTAGTATTTCTAACTTTCACTCCATCAGTTGGTCCCCTGTGGCTCAAGAAATAGAGACTTGTAAGAATATGATGACATCACTGAATTTCTTAATTGAGACCATTTAAAAACCAAGCCCACTGCAATATTTCAATCCATTACCTTGTTCAGCAAGCAGTTGGCTTATATTCTATTCATAGTCTTGTGCTTGTTAATTTGGTGAACATAAAGGATTTAAACAACTTTATGTCCTAAGTGGGAATATTTATCACTTGAATTTGGTACATAAAGTGGGCAAAAAAATATTAAGAAAGTTTCTCTATAAGTTTTTGAATATTAAGAAATCTTAAGAATAGTAGGAGAAAAACAAAGGAGAGGGTAACAATGTTCAACAAGAAATGTACTCATTACCTTACTTGTGTAACTGTAACCCCTCTGTACAGCATCTTTACAATAAAATAAAATTTTAAAAAAGAAATTCCTTTCTGGGGTTGGAGGCATGGTTCAGTTGGTAAAGCACCAGCCAATGAGTAAAAATGTCAGATACTGAGTTTGATTCTTGATCTTGTGGCGGGGGGGGGGGGGGGGGGAGAGAGAAAAAAAGAAGTCATTTTTCTCACAGTAAAAAGCATAGTAACTTCTCATTTCAGCACAAGGTATAGACAATCACAACCCCTAAGCTGGCAATGGTCACAGCTGGCTGAACAGTAGACTCACCTGGGAAGAGTTAAAAAACTATCAGTGCCTGGCTCCTGCCCAGAACAATTTTGATTCAGCTGATCTAAGCAAGTCCTGAGAGTCACAAGTTTTTATAGTTCCTGATTGTATCAATGGCCGTAAGATTATAAGGCCATTTCCCAATATTTCCATGGGACATGCATCTTCAATTGAGAGACAAAGTAATACATCATCAAATTTTAATTGACGTTATCTAAACAATTGAGAAAACAATCCTGAATTGACTCTTAACTTTAAGCACTGTAGACTGGAACACTGACAGTCCAGTTTACCCTTTTGGATCATTCTAATAGCAAAGCCAACCGATCCTTTATAGATAAAATTGGGCCGGTAGGGAATGAAGCAATAAGAGATTGCTGTAAGAAAGCACTTTAGCTTTTAAACGAGGAAAATGAAAACTAAGAGAGAAAGCACTCTGTTTCTTATTAAATCATACCTGTGATCTAGCAACATAAACTCTAGAATAGAATATTAAAATCTAGGCTAGACACATTGATGGTGGGACAGCTATTTGAACTCTACCTTTTATAGAGTGGTTGTGGTACAATACAATTTTTTGTTGTGATTCTTTTTCCTCTTTTACACTTTTATTTTTTGTCTTTTTAGAATATCATGAGCAAACATTAAGGAAGTCAGATGGGAGTGGGCACAATTACATTTGCATAGACCCAGCTAGGAAATGGCTATGTCTGCCAGTTAGCCTAAATACAGTGACACGGCATGCCAACATGATCTTTCTTATCAGGTGTCACTTATTATTATGTTAGTGTGAGCTACCATTCTTATAAATCTCAGCCATATAATATAAAATGAATTAGTATTATACTGTATTAGTTACAATATCACAATGTGAGCAGAGATACCTACAGTACTCATGTCTGGCAGGAACTGTAACATGTTTTCAGTTCAATTATGTTACTTTATACTAAACAAAAACTAAGCTCCATTTCCATATCTGCAAATAGAAATTGAGCGGTGTTACCAGTTATGAATTACAGCAATATTTAAAGTAAATTGAATTTCTCCTTGTTCTTAAACTATCTCTAGTCATTGCTTAATCTAATATTGGTTTGTAAATCTTGATTTTCATTTCAATTAACCAAAATTCCTTAAAACTTTCTGCTATCATGTAAAAAAGCATGTGGTAAAAAATAATAAGTATATATAGTATACATTTGTAATATAATAGATATTAAGCAATTACCCAAAGCCCATATCTAAGAAGAAATTTTTTTCATCTGCATGTATTTTCTGGACCACATCTCCACTATTCCAACTTTTCTGGGGTTTCTTTCTGGTCCCAGGCCTTGAATTCTGGGCCTAGACACTATCCCTGAGCTCCTTTTGCTCAAGGCTAGCACTCTACCACTTGAGCTCAGCACCACTTCTGGATTTTTCTGTGACTAACTGGAGATAAAAGGCATATGGAATTTCCTGCCCAGGCCAGCTTTGAATTGCAATCCTCAGATCTCAGCCTCCTGAGTCGCTAGAATTACAGGTGTGAGCCACTGACACATGGCCTCTTTTTTTTTAAATGGATATACTGAGGTTTTAATTCAGAACCTTATGCTTCCTCATCTTGATTGTTCAGCTAGATTTCTATCATTTTGAGCCACGTTTTTAGACTAGTTCTTTGCTAGTTAATCTGGAGACAATCTCATGAACATCTTATCCCAAATTGGCCTCAAACCTCAACCCTTGCTATTCTGCCTGGGATGGCCTCAAACTAAGACACTCCAGATTTCAGTCTCCTGAGTAGCTATAATTACAGATGCATGCCACCAGCACATGGCTATTATTCCTAGTGTGAAAGTAGTTCTTAAATTGCTTTTTTAAATGCCACCTTATACCACCTTGACACACATGTATAAACAACAAGTGGATCCTACAATACATGTATGAATTTTATAAAAACAGACTTTCACTCTATGTATTTTGGGTCATTAGGTTTTTGCTATGCGTTGTATACTAGCTGGGACAGGCAGCTTCTAGTGGCCCCCAGATAGTTCCACTCTGGTATTCATGAGCTGCATAATTTCCTATGCTTAATAACTTACTCCCACCCAATAGAATGTGGCAGCATTTGGTGACAAAAGACTGTGACATCTCTACTGCTAGTCAACTCTATCTTTCAGGCCCCCTCTCCCTCTTTCACTGGCTCTGATGGATCTTACTGTTGGGTAGGAGACATCCATGAGGCTAGAGTATGATATCTTCTACCCAGCCCATGCGTTTGGTCAGTCAAAATTACCTAAGCAGGTTGTGTAGGGACTGTCTGTGGGCTGGATGTCTCTTGGTCTATGTAACTTGTCTGGTAAAGCCATTTGCAAGAGTCATTTGCATGCTAAGAGTTCTGAACCCTAATGGTCTCCCCATCCTGAAGCTATGGTGAATGTACAATGCAGGTGTACATTAAGAGGCACAACATTTCCTCAGCTCACAGAGCTCACCTGCCCTACTACCTAGGCAATTGTCCTCACCTACAGGTGCCTGAATGTGTCTGGCCTCTCTGTAGCCTCTTTTCTTCCCTGGGTGGTCACAGATAGAGATAACTCAGTAGTCTAAAGACCTACTTTACCTCTAAGAGTGGGAGAGCTATTAGTCTTACTCAACTCTAGAGCATCCCAAGGTGTTCAAGTGGAATTCACTAAAACTGCATTTTGGCGTGGCTGCTTTTACTATTCTAAGTTGCTTCCTGTGCATTTCATTATTGTTATTACCCTTTCTCTCTGGTCCCAGTGTAAAGTTCTGTTCCAACTGAATCCAACTTAGTACAAACATCTTAGGATGGCAACCTAGTAAACTTCAATATTTCCTCTTCAAGATGTCCAGGTAGTAGCCCCTTAAATACAATCTCAGATGCCATGAGAATTGTTCCCTCATCCTAAGACAGTGATGTGAAAGAAAGCATTACAGCCAAGTGCTGGTAGCTCACACCTGTAATTCTATTTATTTGGGAGGCTGAGGTCTAAGGATCATAGTTCAAAGCAGCCCAGTCAGGAAAGACCATGAAACTCTTATCTCTAACAAACTATTCGGAAAAGGCCAGAAGTAGTGCTCTGACACAGTGGTAGAACACTAGCCTTGAGCAAAAAGAAGCTCAGAAACAGCACAAAGGCCCCAAGTTCAAGCCCCAGGACTGGTTTGCATGCATGCATGCATGAACATGCACGCGTATACACACACACACACACACACACACACACACACACACACACACACGTGTTGAAGGGCAGTGACAGAGACTAGGAAAATAGTTACACTAATCTGTGCTCCTCTAAGGTCTATTAGGCATGGGAGTATAAGTATTTTCTTTTTTTTTTTGGGGGGGGGTCCAGTCGTGGGTCCTGAACTCTTGGCCTGGGCGCTGTCCCTCAGCTCTTCAGCTCAAGGCTAGTGCTCTACCACTTGAGCCACAGCGCCACTTCCGGCTTTTTTTCTTTGTGCTTAAGTGGTGCTGAGGAATCGAACCCAGGGCCTCAGGCATGCAAGGCAAGGGCTCTACCACTGAGCCACTTTCCCAGCAGCATGGGAGTATAAGAACAAACAGTTTCTTTGGCAGATAATCTCTGAACGCACTGCAGGGACTATAGGAATGATTCTAAGTATGGAGGAAACCCTACAGAATGACAATGAATAGAACATCACTGCCAGCCACCGGAGGGTGTTTGCAATCAATGAGAAGCGAGTTACAGAAGACTTCCTCAGCTCCCTTTCATTGGCTGAAATCTATTCCTAGACACTTACTGTGCAGAGCTAGATCTTCAGCCACAGAAAGTTCTCAGAAACGGCACTAAGATGCTCGCTTTCAGAAACCCTCTTCATCTTTGGAATGAGGACACCTGAGGAGAAATAGCTGACACACATAAAATTGCCTGCTACGATCCTCTCCCTCTTTAGAGATGGACTGCCAAAAGAGTTGGCAGTTAAAGATATTCAAGAAGAAAAAACATGAGACATCATGCCTTTGTATTTGTATGTATGCAAAAGTCAGGTTTATTTAAGATGCAGGAATTACAGCATTTCAGAAAACAAATGTTCCCATGAGTGAGGGGGAGGGGGAAAGGGGGACGTGAGAGTGGGCAGATTTCAGAGAAAATTCAAATTCTTGTGTGTTCTAGAGAGACATAGTAACCTTAGCAGTGAAGAGGAAGTAGATTGACAGGCCCACATGAACCCCAGTGAGAGCTGTCCTCTGTGATCCAGCTCACTGGTGGTGTTCATCGAAACGTTGGCTGCTGAGGACCAGGAGGGTAAAGGTCAGAGTAATCAACAGCAAGATCCACTGCAGCAGCTGGGGCGGCAGCAGGGCTGGCAGCACACAGACTGGCAGCAGGGCCTGCAGCAGCTGGAGATGCAGCAGCTGGGGCGGCAGCAGCTGGGCTGGCAACAAGGCCTGCAGCAGCTGGAAATGCAGCAGGTAGGGCGGCAGCAGCTGGGGCGGCAGCAGGGCTGGCAGCACACGGACTGGCAGGAAGGCCTGCAGCAGCTGGAGATGCAGCAGCTGGGCTGGCAGCAGCTGGAGATGCAACAGCTGGGGCGGCAGCAGCTGGAGCCACAGCAGCTGGAGCTAGTACAGCAGGTAGGGCGGCAGCAGCTGGGGCGGCAGCAGGGCTGGCAGCACACAGACTGGCAGCAGGGCCTGCAGCAGCTGGAGACGCAGCAGCTGGGGCGGCAGCAGCTGGAGGTGCAGCAGCTGGGGCGGCAGCTGGGCTGGCAGCACACAGACTGGCAGCAGGGCCTGCAGCAGCTGGACACACAGCAGCTGGGACGGCAGCAGCTAGAGGTACAGCACTGGGTCCTGCAGCAGCTGGGCTGGCAGCAGCCCTCCTCAGAGCAGGTGGAGCCACAACAGGAGTTGACCATGGTGTCAGAGGATGGGATTCTGAGTAGGGTTTCTAGAGGGTGATTTGAAAAGTATGGAATAGTCTTCGCCCCCATCCGATGCTCTTTTATACCTGGCTAAGGATCTGCTGTCATCACCTGTAGCATTCTTTCCTTGTTATTGTTTGTGTTAAAAAACATGTAAGTGGCGATTAAATTAGACAAGATCGTTTTCCTGGTTGAATTTTTACACTGAATGCAAAACACAGTTTCCTTTTCCTGATGTGTTAAGATTCATCCATCAGCTCTTCCTGATACACCTTGCATGTATCATTCTTGCTCTTGCATCTTTAAAGAGAGCTGTCTCATGATATTTATCTCTTGGGACTATATGTTTCACTTTGCATAATAAATCTTGTCTGTCCTTGGGTAATAATGATTCTCATAGACCCATGGGTTTTTTTTTCTGGAGACTTAGAAAGATAATGCTGTCAGCCCATATTTCAGGGGTCTATCTCCCATGGTAAAGAAGTTTTTGAATGTCAAACACAGACCACTTACATGAGAACAGAAAGACCACTGAAACAAGAACCCTTCCCCCCCACACACCCCCCCCCCCCCCCGTGCCACCGTGTAATTTAGGAGCCATTTTTAGAATTTATCATGGTAAATACAGAACAATTTTGAGGAAGAGTGCCAAGTCCTGAACTTTTGATGTTTCTCTTCCCTTGGACACAAACTTCCAAAACTCATTTTTAGGGCCTCTGGCAAAAATTGGCTGCCAAGTTCAGCTACACTATGATAGTTAGTTCTTTGATCTTTCTTACTCTGTTGGACTTATTTTTCTTCTTTCTTTGACTTCTTGTCTTTCTAGCTGCACCAGGTCCTAGCAACTCATCTCCTTTGCCTTATGGATTGACTTGCCCACATCAAATTACTCTCTTACCCTAGCTCATATTGTGTTTTTCTCTCTTACTCTAGCTCATATTGTGTTGTGTTGCTTGGCTGGGACCTTTATATTCCCTATTCTTTTATTTGAATTGTTCATTAAAATTCACTCTCTAGTTCTTTGTTTTCCTTCAAACAAGAGACAGAAGATTGATCACAGAAAACAGATTTCTAGATCAATGGACATCTGCTTAAGTGGGTGATTTGTTTTTCATTGTGAAATGTAGTAAGAGTTTAAAAAAATGCCTAATTCAATGACTAGCTGAAAACTTGTCACAGAATGAGGAATGTCACCAGTCTACAAGTTGGAATGTATTTCTTAAAACCTGGATTCACAGCAACATAGAGATTTCACTTGTATTTGTTGTAGTTTCTCCACTTTCATCTCTGATTTTATTTAATTGAATCATTTCCATTCTGCTTTTAGTAAGATTGGCTAAGGGTTTATCAAAGAACCAACTTTTTCTTTCATTGATTTTTTTGTATAGTTTTTTAGTATCTATTTCATTGGCTTCTATCCTAACTTTTATTATTTCATTCCATCCGCTTGTTTGGGGGTTTAGCTAGTTCTTGGTTTTCAAGGGATTTGAGGTTCATCATTAGTGTATTCATTTGAGACCTCTAATTCCAGTCAGAAGGACCATTATCAAGAATATGAGCAACAACACATGCTAGAGAGGATATTGGAGAAAATGGCCTCTACTAATACTGTTGGTGGGAATATAAATTAGTGTAACTATATGGAAGTCAGCATGGAGACTTCTTGATGAATTAAAAATAGAACACCCTGTGATCAAGCAATATTAAACTGGATACAAAACACAATTTCCTTTTCCTGATATGTTAGGATTCATCCATCAGCTCTTCCTGAATCATCTCACATGTATCATTCTTGCTCTTGCATCTTCAAAGAGAATTGTCCCATGAAACTTTGTGTCGTGGGACTACATGCTTCAGTTTGCACAATAAATCATGTCTGCCCTTGGGTAATATTGATTCTCATAGACTCATGTTTTGGGGGAGTATTTAATTGAAAGAATGTAAGTCAGACTATAATAGTGACACCTGCATGCCCATGTTCATTGCAGCACTATTTACAATAGCCAGGTTATGGAAACAGCCCAGATGTCCTAAAACTAATGAATGGATCAAGAAAATATGGTGGTCTATACATTACATACACATACATATATCATTTTTATTCATCCAACAGAACTAATGAACAGATATCATTTGCAAAGAAATGAATGAATCTGCTAAATATTATATTGAGTGAATTGAGACAAAGGGCACATAGGTTCTTGAATATATAGATGTTAGACCTAAAATATAAATATATGGGTATACACATACAGGTATGTGTGTGTATATTTATATATACACATATACATATATATACATGATGAAACTAAAATCCTGTATACATCATTGTGAAATTCCATAATATATCTCCTCTGAATAATTAATACACAGTTTAACAAAATGAATACCAGGAAGCAGAAATATTTCATATCTGGAGGAAATTGGGAGCTAATGGGAAGGGGATAATGAATAGAAAGAGGAATCATGGGTGAAGACAATCATATTATTTGAGGTAAACACCTGAAAATGAGACTAGGATACTTTGTGATACTTTGGGGGATGGGATACATTGGGATCTCTGATCCAAGACGCATTGTATATATAAAACAGGCATGTTAAATTGAAAGAAAGAAAGAAATAGAGAGAGAGAGAGGGAAAGAGGAAAAGAGGAAAGGAGGAAGAAGGAAGAAACAAAGCAAGGAAGGAAACAAGGAAGAAAGGAAACAAGGAAGGAAGGAAAGAACTGGGTGTCATTGGTTCACACCTGTAATCCTACCCTCTCAGAAGGCTTCCATCTAAGAACTGCAGTTCAAAGGCAGTCTGGGCAACCAAATCCATGATATCCTTATCTCCAATTAACCAAATAACTAGCAAAAAAGATCCAGAGGTGGAGACATGGCTCAAGTAGTAGAGCCAAGCTATGAGCAAAGAAGTCAAGCAAAAAATGTGTGATCCTTAAATGCTGAAACAAGGATACAGGATGACCCATTGTAACAGTGAAATGTACAAGACACCATATAGAAAACGAACTTTACAACTTGAGGGGGGAGGTAGGGGGGAGGGATAGTAGGAGAAAAACAAAGGAGTAGGTAACAATGCTCCATAGGAAATGTACTCATTACCTTACTCATATAACTGTAACCCCTCTGTACACTATTTTTACAATAAAAAATTAAAAATGTGAGACCCCCAAAAAATGTGAGGTCCCAAGTTCAAGCCCATCTCAGCACCAAAAAAAGACTCTAAAATAGAGGAGGGAAAGCCTGACTTTGTACCATGTTCATACATGTCACTTTTAGCTCTAGGGTTGTCTTGGGGGCAGTGATTCCTGCTCTCTGAGGACAGCTATTGACCTCTCATCTTTGGCATTCTTACTATAAAATATGTTCATCAAAGTATTTGGAGATCATTGGCCAGGTGTGGTGTTCCACATCTGGAATCTCAGCCAGGCTAGTGACTTTTTTTTCCTGTGAAGAAGCATTTTAATTTGATACTATCCCATTAGTCAATCTCTGTTCTTAGTTGCTCAGCTTCACTTACAGAAGTCACTGCTAATGTGAATATGTTCTTTTGGGGGAGGAAGGAGGATACTATGAACTCTGGTATAGTTTGGATATTAACCACTAATCACATATTTTGTTTGCAGATATATTCTCCTATTCTGTAAGTTGTCTTTCATTTTGTTCTTATGTGTAGAAATTTCATAGTATATTCATACCTATTTTTTTGGTTGCCTGTGCAAAATTTGGTCAGATCCAAATGTCTTGCAGCTTTCAGTATTCTTTCTTACTTCTTTTTAATTTAACATTTAACTATAGAACACGGAGATTTTATATCCAAAATAATATTGTCAAGACCTGATATCATGACACTTTCTGCCTGTTTTCTTCTAGGAGTGTTGTAGGTTCAGATTTTGCACTTAAGTCTTTCATCAACTTTGAATTGTTTTCAGTATAGTTTAAGATAAGGTTCAAGTTTTATTCTTATATACATATATATCCATTTCCCCTCTACCTACCCCCCAAAATAGTGTCTTTTGGAGACTGTTATGTGATCTTGGCATTATGTGGTCTTGGCATCCTTGTCAATAGTAGTTGACAGGATGTCTGTGGTTTATTTCTATGTTTTTCTCTGTCTTTTCAAGGCTTGTATGTTCTTGAAGCTAAAATGAGTCTTATGTAGGCAATGTATCATTGGATTATGTTCATCTACTTAGCCTTAATCTCTCAATGACTTGTAGGTTGGTTGGTTGGTTGACTTTAGCCTTGTTTGCCTGTTTTTGTTTGTTGGTTTGTTTGTAGGCCCAGGCTATTTGAAACTCACCAAGTGGACCAGGTTAGCCTCAGGCTCACAATCCTCCTGTTTGAGCCTCCAAAATGATAGCATTACAGATGTGAGCCAGAACTTTTTTCTTTGTCTGTCATGAGGCTTGAACCAGGGACTGGAAGCTATTCCTGAGCTCTTTTGCTCAAGGCTAGAACTCTACCACTTTGAGTCACAACTCTGTTTCTGGTATTCTAGTTGCTAATTGGAGATAAGAATCTCATGAACTTTCCTACCCAGGCAAGCTTCGGACTGCAATCCTCAGATCTCAGCCTTCTGTGTAGCGAGGATTACAGGTGTGAGCCACCAGTGCCTGGGCTCAGCCATGACTTTTTACTGCAGAATGTAAGATATTTACAGCCAAGGTAAGGTAATAGTGAGTAGGTCAGACATGTTCTAGCCATTTTACCACTGTCCTGTTTCTGAACAGAATTGCTTACCTGACTTCAATGTATTATTGGCATACAGCAAAAGCTATATATGAATACTATATTTTTGTATGCTGACTTTGGTTCTTACTTCTTGATGGAATGTGTTTGTCAGTGCTAAAGGGTTTGTTGATGGTGTCAGTAGGGTTAACTCTACAGAATTTTGTCATCTGCAATCACATCATTTGCAAATAGGTAGTTTAATGTCCTCCTTTCTAATTCATATCCTTTTTGTTGCTCTTGCCTTATTGTTCTAACTAAGAATTCAATCACTGTACTGAAAAGGAGTAGTGGGAGTGGGCAATCTTGTCTTCTTCCTGATCTTAGAGGAAATGCTCTTGTTTCCTTATATCTAATTTATTCAGAACTGTTATGATAAAACGATGTTGAGCTTTATCAAAGGGTCTTTGAGTAATATTATTAAGATGGTCATATGAGTTTTATCTTTGATTTTTTTTAATATACTATGTTACATTTATTGGCTTATTTATATTTAGCCTTGTAATCCTGAAATAAAAAAAACTTGATTGTGTGTATGAAAATACTTCTTTTTAAAGCCATTTGTTTCCTATTTTCACTATAAGACTAAATTCAATGGTAAGTACCAGTTTAATTTTTCAGTTTTAAGGCCTTCTGATATCATGTCCTCCTGTGTCATGAAGAAAAAGAGACAGAAATATAAACACACTACTTCATTAATAAGAAATAATTAGTGAAAGATAAGAACTCCCAGGGTCTGAGAATTAAAGCTTTATTGGGAAACTTCAAGCAAATCCCTATCAAAATAGATGTCACAAACACACACACACACACACACACACACACACATTGGTAAGAAAAAAATCAATAAGTGAAATATTTTAATGCTTTTGCTTTTTATTCAGAGTTAGGAATTCTCAAACAACTCTGCATAATTTGGCCCTAAATTCTGATTCACTAGTAAGAGTGTTTCTAATTTTAAAAAAGAAAGACTAAATAACAATACAGAAAACAGACTTTTCTAGATCACTCAATGTGTCTGAAGTTCATACTATCGCAAAGTCTACATTTTCTGCCAAAAAGAGGTTCTCTCTGTGATGGCGGAAGGATGAGGGTTTAGACTGTCCACAGATCTAGATCAGCAGCAAGAACTACCACAGCAGCTAGGGCGGCAGCAGGGCTGGCAGCACACAGACTGGCAGCAGGGCCTGCAGCAGCTGGAGATGCAGCAGCTGGGGCGGCAGCAGCTGGAGGTACAGCACTGGGGCCTGCAGCAACTGGATATACAGCAGCTAGGGCGGCAGCAGCTGGGGCGGCAGCAGGGCTGGCAGCACAGAGACTGGCAGCAGGGCCTGCAGCAGCTGGATACACAGCAACTGGGCTGGCAACAGGTCTCCTGGCAGTGACCTTGGCCACAGTCTTGCTCAGAGCAGACGGAGCTACAAGAGTTGATCATGATGTTCAGGATGGCAGTTCTGAGTGGTTTCCAAATGAGTATATTTCTTGAATCTGGAAATCTTCTTGCTCAAGGTCCCTTATATATGCCTGCTGAAGGAGCTCTTCCTTATTATTGTTTATTCTAATAAGTAATTAATTGTTGTTAGGCAATTACGTTTTCCAAATTGAATGATAAACATTGCTCCTATTTCCTGATGAATGACATTCATGCTGAATCACTTCTAGTTTTATTCCTTTCTGTGCTTCATTTTGGTTCCGATGCTGGTTGGTTCCAATGTAAATGTGTTGACTCTCGACTCCATCTGATCTTTCCTTCTGAGTCACCTCAGCATTCTCTCCTTGTGAGCATTATCTAGGTCTAAAACTCTCCAGCTTCTTCTATTGAGCAGTATTCATGTGAAGATTGACATAATATTGGACCCATCTTTGGGTCATGCCGTGGCCACCATTTTTGTTGCATTCCTATGTACCAGAGACTTAATTGTCCAATCAGATATAATGAAATCTAAAAAGTAAAGAATCCTAGCACTGGAAGGCAAGGTTTGATCTATCAGCATGGCTCATTGTAATTTAAATACTCAAGAGGACAAAATTAGGAAAAGGTCCAGGACATAGAAATTATTCTTACCCTATTGCCTGGTTCTTGGTTTTATTGACAGATTTCCTCTTTTTCAAAGGCAAACATATTGGTTTGGAGACATGGTTCCAGTAGAACAATACCTCTCTAGCAATTGGTTAGCCCTATGTTTAAACCTCAATGCCACCAAAAGAAGATTTTCAAAAAAGAAAGAATGGCAAATGTAGATCATGGATGGACACCGATTTTTAGGAGTCACCATTGGAATTTGTAACTGCACCTATAGTATGGAAAAATTTATAGTTCTATTTAAAAAGCAGAATCTACAGTGTAGCTTCAATTACTTTTAAGGTGAATAGGAAAATATCAAAGCAGTACTAAGGTACTAATTAATTGCTAATAGTAATTACATCCGGTCAGTGGGATCATGGCAGCTTTTAATTTTTATCTTTGAGGTTGAGCTGGGGCATCTCAGGCCAGCCTAATGTGCAGGTAGTAGCACCAGGTCAATTGTATGGTTGAGATAGCAAAAAATGAGCTGGTAAACAACCATTGACCCGAATGCCCAGAGGGTCCTCCTTAATGCCACATCTCCGTGATCCAGCAGGGAATATATAACCAAGAACCACAAGGAAGAATTTTACCCTCATTTTGGGGTTAGGCCTCATACCCATTCTGACCAGCTTGTTAAGTTAAAATACTGGTTTCTAAATATTTTGAGTCTCCCTCCTGCCACAAAATGCTGACTCACAAACCCAAAAGACCACTGATATATTTCATGAGAGGGAATTCCACAAAGACAATGTTTTTCAACTGTTTAGTGCATAGGAAAGCAATGCCTCACAAGAGGCAAATGGGGCTTCCTGTGAACTAGAAGGGAGGGCTGTGGAGTTTTAGGCAGGAGGGCTATCTCCGAAGGTCTTTGAATGAGCCTAGACCTTCTTTCTTTTTTCTTTATTGCTTCTGTGGTAATTCCCATTTCAAGACTCTAAGAAGAGATGGCAAAAGTGAGCGTAGAGCTGCAGCTCAGGGATGGATGCAGTGATGCATATAAGCCTACAGAAATGGAGAAGGTCAATCTAGGAATCATTCGGCAAGAAAACAGGGGACCTGAATGCATATATGGGCCCTCTCTGACCAGTGCATTACAGCAGTAAGACCAGGTCTCCAACCTTTCCCTGAGAAGCAATCAGTATCTCATTGAGCTCTTCAATTTAACTTCAATCAGAAAAACTAGCTTTTAAATCACCTAGCATAGAGAATGGCAAGGAGACTCCATATTTGCTAGCTTTCTGGAACAAAGAGATGGCTTTAAATATGCAGGCAAGCTATCCCTCCTTCAATTGACTAACTCCCAGCCCTTGTCTCAGATCATGCAGAGGAAGCAATAATACCAAGTCCTGGAGGAATCTGACTGCACGTTCTCCTAGCTGTTACCCAGAATCAGGCTTCTAGCATGCATCTAAGAATTGGCAGAAGAGGTAATTAGTAAGACTTTCATCCCCTGCCCACCTCAATAAAACCAAGTCTCCATCTTCTCCTTGAAAGGAGTTAGACCACCCAGCAAGCACTCTTAACTTTTTATAGCACTCATCAAAGGGACTGCCTCTTAAATTCAAGAGTCCCCACGGACAACAGAGATCAAAGAAGCACTTTTCAACAGGCTTAGGTACATTGTCAATGGCTGCTCCCTCTAGTTCAGTGTAGAGCTAAGAAAACAACAACAACAACAAAACAAATCCCAGTTTCTCACTGAAAGGGCCTTAACTCCTGAATCTCTCAGGTGCTCCAGGTGCATCAGACATTTTATTACTCATTATTGTAGAACTGATGGACAATAATTGAAAGAACTTTGAGTTCCTAAAGAACAATGAATGGTACTTCCTACAATACCCCCCTCCCCAACACCAAGAACTAAAACTGGTCATGATTAACAAATCAAAGTACTAGAAATAACTAATATGATTTTTTTCTAAATCTTCCCATTTCCTTATGAACGGGGCAATGCCATTCTTTCTCATGGAAGCATAGAATTCCATTGTGTATATATACCACAATTTCTTGATCCATTCATCTATTGAGGAGTATCTGGGTTGGTTCCATATCTGCAATGAAAATCATATTGAGTGAAGTAAGCCAGACCCAAAGAAACATAGGCTCCATGGTTTCCCTCATTTGTAATAATTAGCATATGTCTAGGATGGTCCTAGAAGAGGATCACAATAGCTCAGCTGTGTACATATGACTATAGAAGATGGTGTTAAGCAAAATGAGCTCTAAGATACGGAAACAAGAGGTTTTTCTTTGTTGTTGTTTTTAATGTATTATGTGAAATTATTTATTTTTTCTTATTTTTTTTCTTTTTTTTCCCTATGGTTTATCCCTTGTTGTCACTGTATTTTATTTTGGTACCATGGGTATTGTATATATGTTTATCTGGATGAGGGAAGGTAAGGAGAACAACAAAATAGTGAGACAAAGGACAAGGGTAGAACCAATGCAACGAGATAACATGTTAGCAATGAACTTCACAACTTGGCGGAGGCCACTGGGGAGGAGAGAAAGTAGGAGAAAAATGAGGAAGGGCGCAACAATGTTTGACAAGACTCATTACCTTATATATGTAACTATAACCCCTCTGCACATCATCTTGACAATAAAATTAAATTTTAAAAACAAAACAAATAAAAATAACTAAAACTAAATTATGATAATGTTTTATCTTAAAAAATAGGTTTTATTTGGCCATCAATAGCATGGATCATAGGAGGAGAAAAGGTAAAAGCAGTAAGTAATGAATAATTGTCCCAACACTCAACATTCCCCAGGAGTATATAATGCTCTTAGAGATGAATCATTCTCAGAAGGAAAGTGAGTGGCGGATTCCACAGTCTGCTAAGTTCCATATCCTCAGGATCAAGGGAGAAGGGCGGATTGGGGAGTGAAAAATCCCCAATGACTCATAACTGGGCTCACAACAGAAGACACGTGTTTACAAACATGAGCTTTAAGTTAGTCAGAAATGTTCTTGGAAAGCCTTTTGGAGAATTGTAAAGCTGGAGTCCTGTAGGCAATAAATGGTGCTTAAGAGCCCCCATTTCTATTTCAGAAACCATAGACACTCCACACTACTTGTCCTTTAAGACTTTGGTAACATTACCTTCTCCAGCAATCTCTTCCAACACTCAGCCCAAACCGCCCCTCCTTTAAGTCACCCCGTCTAGCATCCTGGTACCATGCTTCTTTTATTTTATATTCTTGGAAGTGTTTCATCTTAGCTATTTTTCAGATACAATTAACAAATAAAATTGTGTGTACTTAAGGTATTTTGATATAGATCTACATTGTGAATTTTTTACACCAATCTGTATAATTAACAAATCTTTTGCCTCACATGATGACCCTTTTACAGAGGGAACATTTAAGGCGTACTGTTTTAGTAAATTTTGATTATACAATTCAATACTAATAACTGTGTTCTTATTGTTGTACATTAGATTTCCAAAACTTGTTCATCTTGAATAACTAAAGTTCTTTGATGAACATTTTCCCCATTCCTGTTACTACTATTCCTCGGCAGCTATCTGTTTACTCTCTGTTTCCTTCAGTGAGTTTGAGTTTGACTCTTTTGGATTGAGTGTAAGTGAGATCTTGTATAGAACCCTGTCTGGCTTATTTTATTTAACATATTGTTCCATAGATTGCTCCACATTTTCACAAATGTCAGGATTTCCTTCTCAAGGATGAAGACTATTCCCTATATTTTGGATGTGTGTATCCTCACGTGAAGACTGAGGATATGATTGTTGTATTCCATTACCACTCCATTCATGTCTGAACATGTTATGCTTGTGATCCCTTTGTTTCCCTTTTATTCTCTTCCCAACTAAAAGACTTTGCCCAGAGTTAGTCTGCAGCTCTTAAATCTGTGGATATGACTTTACAATGGAAGAGAACTGCTTGAAAATTCACTGTGTGATTAGCACGTTGTAGAGGTAACTTCAACCAGATCATGTTGAGTGAGTCCATATGTCATAGTTAGACACACCCGCAAACCTTATGTTTGGAACTTCAATGGAGCATGACTGGATGGATGTCACTCATGTGTCAGGCACCATAAAAATAGAACTCACCCAGTATTTCCAACTTACCTTGCATCACTTATCTTCCCATAGCTGACATGTCTTATCCATTACACACACTGACTTTCCCCGCTGCATCTGTGGCTTCAATCTGACATTCCAGAGCCCTTTCTCCTCAGAGGACCAACCACAGCAAGTCCCTATGAATTAATGAATGAAATAAGACTCTATGAATTAATCTTTACATCTAGCTTCTCCTAACCCTTGAAAGGATTGCAATGGTTTCTTGGTATCTTTTGAACAATAATTCTCCCGTATGAACATTTAGAGCCAAGAAATGTAGCTCAGTTGTAGAGCATTTTACCTACTGTGTACAAGGCTCTGATTTTAATACCACCAAAAAAAATAGTACAGACGTCACTAAGAGAAAGATTATAAGAATATGAACATTTAGCAGTCATTCAATCCTCTGATTTTACCTTGGCTTATGTTTTATGGGCTGTGTATACTCTCCTGAATTTTCAGACTTGATACATTTTATGTATGTGAACCAATTCATGGATATTGTTCTTCTTCCAGCAATACATTCCTCTTTTTCAGTAATATTCCAAACATACTACACCTGACATGTCTCCCTTTTAAATCTAAGGTTGTAGAGTGAATCATCCATAAGTCCAATGGACATACCAGGTGATCCATCATCTTATCCACTAAATAAGAAAGTTATTGTTAGTTAATATGTCTTCTTTTCTCCCTCCCTTCCATCCATCTCTCTCTCCTTCCTTTCCTTCCTTCAGGTTTGAACTCAGTGCGCTAGCTTATTAGGAAAGCATTCTACTATTTTAGCTATACTTCCCGACTCTTTTGCTTTGCTTTTGCTTTGGGTTTTGTTTTCAGATAAGATCTTAGGCCTGTTCCTGGGCTGGCCTCAGACCATGAGCCTCCTACCTTCACTTCCCAAATAGCTAGGATTACAGATGAGTACCACCATAGCTGGCTTTTTTTCCCCAATAAGTCTTACTCACATTTTGCCTGGACTAGCCTCAAACCATGACTCCTATTTCTGACTCTCAAGAAGCTAAGGATTCTAAGTATGCATCACCACATCCAGCCCTTTCTTTGTTTTTATAATTGGCATATAAAAGCTGTATATATTTATAGGACATCACCTGATGTTTTGATACATGCACCTCATACATATGTTCAAATCAGGGTAAGCATATTTACCTTCTCAAATAGTTATCATTTATTGATGTTGAAAACAGCCAACACCATTTCTTCTAGCTTTCTATATAGAATCTTATGTAAGATTCTATATATTTCAAAGCAATACATAGACACCTTACTGTACAATGGAACACCATAACTTATTTCTGTCATTTAAGGGTAACTTTATTATAAGCCAACCTTACCCCTTACTCTCCCCAGCTTCTGGTAACCACTTTTCTACTTTTTTTACTTCTATAAGATTAACTTTTTTAGATTCCACGTGTGAGTGATGTCATGCAGAACTTTTTTCTCTCTGTGCCTGGCTGATTCCACTTAACATCACCTATTCTAGCTCCATCCATGGTGCCACAAGTGACAGGATTTCATTCCTTTTTGTGGATGACTTGTGTTCCATTATGCATTACAACATTTTGTTTATCCACCCATCAGTTGGTGGATATTTAGTTTGATTCGGTTTCTCGGTTGATGCAAACTGGGCCATGATAAGCATAGGAACGTACTGGCAAAATCAACAGTCTAACAAAATCAGTATTCTAGCAAAATCAGCTTTTATCCTGGGTACAGAAACTTTTCTTCACCTTGAAAGAAATAGCATGAGAAAAGAAACTGACCATCAAACTGAAAATAAAAGAAAGAAAAGAAAATGCAAGAATTTCTGATGGCAAAGTAATATTTATTGAAGAATAATTAACACATAATCGAAAAGACAAAGAGGACAGTCACGGACTTGAGGGCTGAGAATGAGGGCATCGTGTATCTGTGGCCCGGTTGGGGACACTCATGGGACTGACGAGTGATGTCTAAATGTAGAGAGATGTCCTTCGGCAAAGCTCTTCCTCGTGTAGCAGGATAAGAAAGCTGGTGACCATTCAACACAGGGAAAAGTTGCTGTAGGTGACACTGTTGTAAGGATGACTGACTCTCGGGTTGGTCGTCAGATGGGAGGTTCAATGAGACCCACGACAGCCAGTGGGACAGCAAGTTGTACGTTAGCAGGTGGTCTGGCAGCAGCTGGGGCGGCAGCAGCTGGACACACCGCAGCTGGGGCGGTAGCAGGTGGTCTGGCAGCAGACTGGGCGGCAGCAGGTGGTCTGGCAGCAGACTGGGCGGCAGCAGCTGGACACACCACAGCTGGGGCGGCAGCAGGTGGTCTGGCAGCAGACTGGGCGGCAGCAGCTGGGGCGGCAGCAGGTGGTCTGGCAGCAGCTGGACACACCACAGCTGGGGCGGCAGCAGGTGGTCTGGCAGCAGACTGGGCGGCAGCAGCTGGGGCGGCAGCAGGTGGTCTGGCAGCAGCTGGGGCGGCAGCAGCTGGACACACCACAGCTGGGGCGGCAGCAGGTGGTCTGGCAGCAGGTGACTGGGCGGCAGCAGCTGGGGCGGCAGCAGGTGGTCTGGCAGCAGGTGGTCTGACCGCAGGTAGGACGACAGCAGCTAGAACCACCACAGCTGGGCTGGCAGCAGGTCTCCTGGCCACAGCCCTGCTCAGAGCAGGTGGAGCCACAACAGGAGTTGACCATGGTGTCTGGGGATGGAGGTTCTAGATAGGTTTCCAAGAGAGTGAGTTTCTCAGATGTGGGAGTCTCCTACACTGTGTCCACTTTTATACCCGGCTGGTCTCACTCTGCAAAGGGCTATTTCCTTATTATTGTTTATTTAATAGAGAAACAATTACCAACTGAGTTAGTTGTGGAAGATTCTATATAAAGGTCAGGGAGTATGCATTTCTGCCTTAAGTTTATCAAACCCAGTGTTTTCTCCTGAGTCACCTTGGCCCACACTTCCTTATGTCTATCATCTAAAGTCAAGGACTCTTCATGTTGCTCCTCTGAGTGGTTGTCATGTGAAAGATCATATAAATTTCAACCTTCCATGTGTCAGTGTGAGGGCTTTGCAACTCATTCTTGTCCTCTACAACTCCATTCCTTGTTTTCTAGACTCTTTTAAGATCAACAGTAAATCATATGAAAGTACAGAACCAAACTTGGAAATTTTCTTGAAATATTTGAATCAGTATGACTTTTATAAGACAGGATAGTTAATAGCAAAAGAAATATTAATAATTTTATAACAAAAATTAGGCCTGGCACTGGTGGCTTTCATCTATAAACCTAACTACTAAGAAGGCTGATGTGATTGTGGTACAAAGTCATCCAAGGCAAGAACATCCATGAGATTCTTATCTCCAATGAACCTGGAAGTGAAGGTGTGGCTCAGGTGGTAATGTGTCAGCCTAGAGAAAAAAAGCCAAGGGATAGCACCCAGGTACTAAGTTCAAGCTCCAGTGCAATCAAGTCACGAAAGAAAAGGAAAGAAAGAAAAAGAAAGGTGAAAGGAAGAAAGGAAGAAAGAAAGGAAGGAAGAAAGAAAGAAAGAGAGAGAAAGAGAGATCAAGGGAGGGGGAAGGAAGGGAAAAGAAGAAAATCTAAGTATCTATATATCTGACTGGGGGTTTTTTGTAAATGAAGAAGCTAGGTCTGGTAGTCTATACCAGGCATTCCAGAACTCAGAGGCTGAAGCAAAAGGATTGAGAGTTTAGGATCACCAAGAGAGACCCTATCTTAAAAATATGTGAATAAAATCAAATATCTTGAAGACATATTGTTAACAAATAATAAAAACTTTAACAGAAAATGAACTGATTTCTTGCATGCATGGACATCTGTTATAACCCAATCAAGAAAAAATTGTCAATCACTAAAGGATATTCAATAAAGAACTAGTCATTTCACTAAGAAAGAAACTTCAATGCTTCTTCAGCTTCTGAAAGATAGTCTCACTAAAAACTTAAAAAAATGTTAATTGAATAATTTATTCCTTCTTCAACCACCTACTGTTTGCACTCTGGGAATACAAAGTGAAATAGTTGCAATTTTAATGGTAATTATAAAATATTAAAGTTTTAACACTTTAATAAATTAATGCAGCTACAAGGAAACATTTTAATAGCTTTCAATATACACTTTGAAGGCTATTTCTTTTGGTGGCAGTGGGGTTTGAACTCAGGGTCTAATGCTTGCCATGCAGGCTCAAGAATACCATCCACCCCTGCAGCCCACTGGCATTGGAAGATAGCATGGTGAATTAGCTTCAGGACCGGAACTCATTCATCTTATGCACATCCCAAGAACTTGCTGCTTGATCCTTAAATTAAATGTAGTTAAAGAGAGGTTCTGGATTCTTTTAAGTAGGTTTTTTATTGTGAAAATACTGTATAGAAAGGTTACAGTTACATGAGCAAGGTAATGAGTACATTTCTTATCAAACATTGTTGCCCTCTCCTTTGTTTTTCCCTACCATCCCTTCCTTCCCATCTCCTTACCCACACCCACCCTCCTCCCCAAGAAGTTCTGGTTCATGTCTCTAGAAACTCCAGGGCAAGTAAAGTAGGCAATCTGCTTTTGGAGAAATCTGATGCTTTCCCATTTTCTTTCACACAGGCTTTGATTCCTAAATGTAAGTCATTTCCTTTGTTCATATTCAGAACACCGGCCCCCATTTATTTAAATGAATAAATTTACATAAGTAAACAAATTTAAATAAACATTTTATAAATATTTAGTTGAAATACAAATACAAGTAATTATTAAGAACCACAAATGGTTATGATACAAGAGACTAAGCATTTATTGGGACATAGTCATCCTATAACACATAATTCCTTGCCACAACCAACACATGCTCAGCAGTGAAAAGACTAGGCACATGTTCCTAAGAGGTAATGTGAGACATTTGGTCATCTGACTGAATGCCAAGGTAATAGACATAGAAGTTAGGGGTTCTGGAGTTTTATTGATTTAAATAGCTACTTTAAATACCTGCTTGGTGGCTTGGCCAATGGAGGATAAATTTACACAGTGATTGTAGGCTCAAGGCCAGGCACAATGGACAAAGAAAATGAGAAAGGCGAACCTACTGGCAGCACACGATGCTTATCAAAGGCTGGTGGTCAGGAAGCTCAACAAGAGGATCATGGAGGGTGGGGCCAGCATTTAGCCTGCTATCAGCTGGGCTGGCAGCAGTAGGAAGTGGAGGCAGCTCTTCTTCTAGCAGAGGCTTTCCTCACAGCCTGGGTCAGACTAGGATCATGGGTTACATTTTAGATGGGTCTCCAACAACATGAGGTTCTGTGTGAGGCAGTTTTATCTTTGCTGTTACTAATTCCTGACAGAAACAATGTGTGAGAAGGAAAGATGGAGGGTGACTCACAGCCTCAGACATGTCAGCCATGTAGGAGCAGTTCCTATCAAGGCGGTCAGGAAGCAGAGAAGAGTGACAAGAGGAAGGGGCCAGGGAAAGAGAGAGTCCCCTCCCCCCAAGAACATACCTCTAAAGGCCTCCTTCTTCCAACCAAGGTCCCCTTCCACAGTATAACTACTACACGTCCTAAGTCTATTCAGGTTTTGGATCCAGAAATGGATTAAACCACTCATTAGTTCATTGTCTTCTAATCATCTCTAGAAATCCCCTCACAGACACTCAGGGGTGAGCATTGCTCCTCTCCTAGGTGCCTGTCAATCTGACCAAGTGGTCTATCAAGATTGACCATCAAGCCAGGCACTGGTGGCTCACACCTGTAATCCAAGCTACTCAGGAGGCTGAGAGCTGAGAGTCTTGGTGCAAAGCCAGCCAAGGCAAGAAGTCCCCATCAGACTCTAATCTTTAATAAACCACTCCAAAATTGGAAGTGGAACTGTGTTTTAAAGTGGTAGAATGCTAACCCTGAGTAAAAGAACTCAGGGACAGTGCCCAGGCCCTGAGTTCAAACCCTACAACCCCCTCCTTCCACTACCAAAAAAACAAGATTGACCATCACAGTTCTGGAATTACAAATGAACTTTTCCAGTCAAATCTCCTTCTATACCTTGCTGAAAAGACACCATCGCTTCACTACATTAGGGATCTGTTTTTCCTTACTATTGTTTATATTTTTGAAAGAGAACTTACCAGATTTTCTGAGCCTTTTTTCAAAACCTCTATGGGTCATATTCATTTACTTAACTCTTTATCCCTAAAGGTATCCAAATCCTTATAAATTTCTTCACCATCTCCTCCATTTCCTCCTGTACTCTTAGCTGCACCATTGATATTCTGAGCACAGGATGAGTCATTCATTGTGCCTTCCAACCATTTAACTTGCTGTTCCCAAATGAAAGAGAAGACATGAGTCCATTTAATTTGAATATAATTTAAAAATAGTTGTAAATAGGTAAACACAGAAGAAGTCAGACCTTGAGGTATTACAGCAAAATGTTGGGTAATAAAATCAGCAAAGCACACTTGTAAAGTTTAACAAAGGTAAAAAGTATAACTGGGTTTAAGGTACTTGAGTTAAGCTTCCATGTGTGTGTGTATGTGTGTGTGTGTGTGTGTGTGTGTGTGTGTGTGTGTGTGTGTGTGTGTGTGTGTGTGTGTGTGTGTGTGTACCAAGGCTTGAACTCAGGGCTTGGACATTGCTCCCTTGCTTTTCACTCAAGGCTGGCAATCTGCCACTTAAGCCGTAGCTTTTTGGTGGTTTTTTTTCTTTGCTTTTTGGTGGTTAATGAGAGACAAGAGTCTCACAGACTTTCCTGCCCAGGCTGGCTGCTAACTGCAATCCTCAGACCTTTCTCTTCCATTGAGATGAACTGTCCATGGACTTTTCTGCTCGGGCTAGGCACCGAACCACGATCCTCCCAATCTCAGCTTTGCATGTAGCTTGGGATAACAAGTAAACAGCACTGTGTCTAGCTATGGGTTGAGAAGTGATCTCTCAAAACTTCCCTGCCTAGGCTGATCTTAAACCACAGTCTGAGCCTCCCAAGTAGCTAGGAATTCAGGGATAAGCCACAGTGCCAGGCAAAAAGATCACATTATCCTATATCCTATGATTTTTGTTTGTTATTTTGTCAGTTTATTTTATACAGCAGTATATTTAACCCTAACTCTAGAGCTGAATATTCTATATATTCTCTCATTTTCATCTCAGAAGGCCTTTGCCCAAAGGAAGCGAAGCCATTCACTTTCAGAAAAAGGAAAATGAGGGGAAACAAAGGAGGACGCAACAGTGCTTGATAAGAAATGTAGTCATTACCTTGCTCATGCAATTGTAACCCCTCTGTACAGTATTCTCACAATAAAAAAAGAAAAAGAAAAGAAAAATGATTTTAAGTGAAGTTAGTAATTGACAGACCAAGGCCAATTCTCAGGTCTATTGTCTTCTGCAGAAATGATCCTCATTGCTTGCAGCAGGAAAATAATTCTGCCTCCTGGCTTCTACAATATGAGTGGTTTCCAAACCTTAATCTGATTTTAATTCAGCATCTTGACTCATCAACATCACCCTCCCTACAGAGGTACTTCCCAAAGTAAGTAGCACCCAGGAAAACTATAAGAACACTTCTAACCTATCACCAGGCTAAACTGGACCTGTTAGATGATCAAATACTAAACATGTCTTCAAAGATGGGGATTACCATTTCACTGACACAGAGAGTGATGACTGATTTCTCATTGCCGGAAAAGAGTCTAGGCTGGTTAG